GCAGGGAAGGTCCGAGGAGGAGAGGAAGGCCGACTCTGAGGCGAGCAGGTCCAGCAAGGAGCCCCCAGCCTGGAGGTGGCCAGAGCTGGGCAGGGCTGCCAGGAGAGGGCCTTCCGGAGGCCTTCACTCCGAGGCTCGCCAGAAGCCGGGGACAACGTGGCGGCACAGAACAGCACACTGCTCTAACCGTGGCGTCGTCTGGTGCGTCATGAGAAGTTCTGCCGGCTCCAGGCGCCAAAAGCTCTGCTGGCAGGGACCCAGCGGGCACGACGGCTCCTTCCTCCACAGCACGACAGTCATGGCCACACAGGAGGCAGGAGAACAAGCGGGTTTCAAGGCAGCCTTCAGCAGGGACACGCTTTTCAGTCTTGGCTGCAGCTGCTGAAGGGGCTCGGAGGGCCCAGGAGTGGCTGGGACGGGGCACCGGAGGCCCTTCCCAGAACCTGCAGAGGGCCCCAGAAGCCCTTCCAAGGTCTAAGGAAGGAAAGACAGTTCTTATTCCAGCCGCAGAAGACATTCTGAGATGCCTCTCCTAACAAGAAGCCTTTAATGAGCGGCCGGCTGCTCTGTGCAAGCAAGCCTGGTGCAAACACATAATTGAGCAGGGGCACAAAGGAGACGGAAGACGAAGCCACTTGCTTGGGGCACTGAGGTGCAATCAAGCGACTGCAGCTGGTGCGGACGCCACGAACACAAGCAGCAGCGGTGCTGGTGCCGCTTTTCGCCGATTCAAGGAGGCCCTGAGCAGCTCCAGCCCAGAAGTCTAGTCTGCCCTGGAAACTTCCCTTCTGCCCCGGGGAATGTCAATGGCTTCCCTTGGATCCCCGGCACTGTCTCCAGCCTCAGGGACTACCATGGAGTTGTGGGTGGGACTTGGCCGGTGCTGGAAGGAGTGCAGTCAGCTTTGTGTGCATCTCCCCGCTGGGGATGGTGGGCACCATGCAAGGCCAGCACCTTGCCCCCACTCTGCCCCCCCCAGGGCAAAGTGTCCCTGGCCAAGGTGGCAACTGCAGTGGGCCGCGGGGGCCTTGCCCACAGCTCTCCTTCCTGGGTGCAGCAGCAAAGCCCCTCTGCTCTCTGTGCGTGCTTGGGCCGTGCCCCCTGGCGAGACCTTTCGGCCTGCCGAGGGTCACGGCATGTCCGCACAAGCTCTTCCAGGCTCCCGGGCAAATCGTGCTGCCCCAAAGAACACTCTGCATGTGCTTGGGGAGCAGGCTCACCTCGGGCAGCGGCACCTCCCTTCTCGTGCCAACCCGTTCCACAGAGGAGGCGAGCAGCTCTGCCGAGCACCCCTGGGCTGGAGGGGACTCTCGAGCCTCACGAATTCCTGGCCGCTGAGTTATGGCCTCTCCTGACTGGGTAAATATTTTCCCTGGCAGCTGAACTCCACGGATCTGCCTGGCCGGCCTGGCCTGCGAATGGTTGCACGTCGTTCCGCGCTGGAAGGCTGGGCCGGGTCGGGCTGGGCCTGAGGGCACGTTAGCCGATAAGGGGGTGCCAGAGTACAATCCTGCTACTGCACAGCCCCCCAGAAAAGGAGCTGCAGCTGAGCAGGTCCAGACCCACTGGACAATAACATGGGGGGGGGGGTCCATTTTGGCAGGAAAGGTGCTAGGAATGCTCTTCTCCAAGGAGGAATCTTTCCTATCCCCGGAATGCCCTTGCGGAGCACCCCACCCCCCGCCTTATCAGGGCAGGCGGGCTGCACGTGGTTCTCTCTACCGGGAATCCAAACAGCCAAGCCCCGCGTTTCTGGGCAGGCAGCTGCCCATCCTGCAGGTACATCCAGCCTTCCCCAGCCCAGTGCCTACTACAACTTCCATCACTCTGGCCAGGGTAGCCAATGTGGGGGGATGATGGGAGCTGTCCACCAGAACACTGGGAGGGCTGCAAGGGGCCCACGTCTGATCTGCGTGCCATGCATCCTGACAAGGCGGGGAAAGCGAGTCTGCGGGAAAGAATCTGGTGGTTCTGCTCTGATGAAACCCGGCCTGTAAGTTAGCAAGAATGCCAGCCCCCGCCAGCTTGCCAGCCCCCCCGCCTGCTTCTGAGCCCAACCCACAGCGTGTGTTCACGTCGGCCCGCTTTGGCAGGCTCACTGCTTTACTGAAGAAGTTGAGCTGTGTGAATCGCTTTGATTTTTGTATGTTAAAGCTCATTTTCAACCCCACCCAACCGCTGAAGCCCTCGGCATGGTGAACCACAATAATAAACACAATGAAATACAACGCAGAATAAAGCAACAAAACCCCATACTGTTGTATTAAAAATTAAACCAAATTTTACAAGTGACCAACCCAAGCCAGTCCACATTGCTCACAAACAGCTGGACACCCCTCTCCCGCGCGCGCGCGCACACACACACACACACCCCCCAGGACCATCAAAGCCTAAGCAAGGAGGACAATCTTGCCCTGGCACCAAAAGGATTCAGAAGGCGGTACCAGGCAGGCCTTGGTGGGGGGATCGTTCTGGGCTTTGAGGGCTACCACAGAGGCGGCAGCCCGTTTGCTTCCGCCAGCCCAGCCTCCCTCGGGCTGTGGATGTTGATCCCAGTGCCTGGGTACACTGAGGTAGGAAGGGGGTCCCATCAGTCACCGCGCCCCCAAGCCACGCTGGGCCCCGAGCCATGCAAGGCGGGGCTCCGAGGGTTCCCTGCGGTTGCTTCGCCTGCACACGTGCTTCACGCTTTTGCAAGCCACCCAGAGCCTTCGGCAGTTCAGTGGTGCAGAAATGCCTGTACTGTAATACACATCGCCATCAACTTTCGAAGGGGGTGGCACCACCGCCCCGGGGGTCCTGGAATGCTCTGGCATCCTCGCTTCCAAAACAGATGCAGCGCTTTGACCCCGGCGCCGGGCACTGGCATCCGCCCCCTGCTCTCCAAGGCTGGAAGGCAACTTCGGAGAGGGGCCAATCCGGGTGGGGCAGGGGGCTGGGGAGGGCGAAGGGGAGGCCGCGGGTGGCGCTCCAGCCTCCTCTCCTCCCGCGCCAAGGGCCTTGGAGGAGCGAGCGTGGAAGCGAAGACCGCGCCGCCCCCCTCGAAAGGCCCGCGCCGCCTTGCGAGCCCTCCCTTGCGGGGGTCCGCGGCCGCCCCCGGGCTCGCCCCGCACCAGCCCCTCCTCCGGGAGGCCGGCCCGAGACAGCCTGGCGCAACGCTGCGGCGCACGCTGCGCGCGCTCGCGCTCTGCGCCCTCCCCGCCCGGGAAGAAGCCCCGGAGCTGGACGGGCGGGGGGCGCGCTTCCCCTTTCCGCGCCTGGCTGCAGGCGCCCCGGCCCCGCCGGCGCGAGGAAGCCGCCGAGTCAGCCCGCCGCACGTGACGCGAGGGGGCCACGGGAGCCGCGGGGGGGGGGGCGTCCCGCTGGAGTCGCCCGGGCCGTCTCCGCTCCGCGCGAGCACCCGCGCCTGCCTGCCGCCGCCGCGCCTCGCGCAGCCTCCCCGCGACCTGCCCGCAAGGCGGAGCCCTTTCCGCCCTCCTTCCGCAAAACGCTCGTCCTCGGCAGAGGCTGGGGCGCCCTCCCTCTTCCCCCTGCGTCCATCCCAGGGAGCGGGGTGCCCGGCTGGGGAACCTGGGTCCTGCCAACATTTGGGGCGACGTGGCCCGCGGTGGGCCCTGTGGCGCAAAAGACCCGAAGCGCAGGGAGCGCCTTGGTGCGCGCTGCCGTTTTGCTAGAAGCTTGGTTCGGCGTTCCTTGCAGGAGAGGAGACCCGTGCATGTGCGAACAGATGCGCAAAGGCATGGCACGTGGGGTGCAAAGGTGGCCACCAGAACGCCAGCCTATTCTTCCCTGGAGAACCCCGCCCTTCGGAGGTCCTTCTGACCTTAGGAGAGGCTTTTCATCCTGTTGGAAGCAGAAAGGTTGTGCGAATGGTTGTGTAGGGGTTGCGTAAAGGGCTGGGTGAGTGGGGCTCTCCGCAAGGCCATACTGGGACCCCAGACCACGGTCTCCATCCCAGACTTCAGAGAAGCAGTGGTGGGAATTCTAAAACGCGTATCATGAGGAGAAAATAGGCACCCCACGTAGCCAGCCTCGGCGTCCCTTCGCACGTGCGCAGGACGGCTTGAGCGCATCGCTCCTTTCCTGCCTGACAACAGGCAGCTCAACATCTGTGCAGAAACGCAATTCTCTCCCGAGGATTCAGAGTTCTCTGCCTTGACCTCCTGCAACCAGGCTGGCAATTAGATGGATTGGAAGTAAATTTAGCGCAGATGAGAGAAGATACATAAGGCGTAAATCACACTGGGCTTTTTCCGTGGCAAGATGCAGTGAATGCTGCCAGTTTCAGAATGTCAGAAGGACCCTGAGGCTGGGTCTGGCCCTGCTTCATCTAGTCCAGCTCTCCAGCCACACGGTGGTCAACCAGCGGCCCACAAGCAGGACGTGGGCGGCCCAGTTCCCCTCTGCCCAAGATCCCCAGCCACTGCTCAGGCAAACCACCTCTGCCTCGGGAGAAAGTGCCACGAATCTACCCAGTCGGCTACTAAAGCGGCCCAGGCCATCAGCGCTCGCTGTGTGAATCGGAGCCTTGCATGTGGCTGGCAGTGAAGGGGGGGGGAGTGACGCGGCCGTTCCGTCTGTCCCAGGCCCCGCACTGTGGCCCCCGTGCCAACGGCAGGGTCTTTCTGCTTGGGCGCAGGAGTGGAGCAAGGCTTGTGAGGACATGCAGGAGGTGAAGGTCGCCCCCCTGGCCTGCCCCAAGCGGATCAGGCGCGCACAGGCCTACATTTGTGTGACCCTGGTTTCGGTTTCCTGGCTCCTTCGTCATGTTTGCTGCTTGCTGAGCCCTTCCCAATTTTTCAGCAGCACCAGCAATTTGAACAGCAGTGCCCAGTGCTAAACCCCATCCCTGCCTTCCCCCCACTTCCTCCCGAGAAGCCTCGTCAGTGCTGAGGAGTATTTGAAGCACCGGGGCTTGGAATGAGAACAGCCGACGCCACGAGGGGGACTTCCCAAAACGGCAGGCGATAAAGCTGCCCCAAAGAGGAAGCCAGACCATCCTTGGACCGCTGTGCGTGTCTTTGCGCTCCTGCGTCTCGTCCGCAGGCTGCGAGGAGCCCCGGGCTGGGCAGACGGCTCCGGAGGAGCACGGGAGCAATTTCGCACACGGAGGTAAGCCGCCCCCTTTCCAGAATGTCCCCCTGGGCCATTGCCTGGTTGGGATGAAGAAGCCAAGGAGAGAACAAAGGCATGGTCTTCTGCTGTCCCAGCCCGTGTGGGTTTGCCGTGGCTGCTGACTGCCTCCGGTTTCAGTGCTATCCATGTGTAGACCAGAGAACATCGCACGATTCTCAGCATTCCTCAGCCGGTGTAGGACTGAGCCCTTCAGGCGCTCTCATAGCAGGCACTCCCTTCCATTCTCAGTTTTCAGTCTGAGAATGGGGAAAATGTCCATCCACCTATCTAGCCAGCGTGATTTGCGGGTGGTCCAGAAGTAAGTCTGAAATGCTTTACCCAATGAGGGCAAGGCATAAAACGGACTAAAATTGAACTGAGTTGATCCTGATGTTGAAAGACAATGTGGACTAGGGACTTGTCCAAGCTGTTGGTTTAGAATGCTCAAAATCGGGTTGGCTCCTCAGCGGTTGGGCATTCTTCAGATCACATGTTGGGAGTGATTTAGCTCAGGGTTTTTCTCAGCCTGAGCGATGCGGCATGAAGAGATGGTCTGGAGGGGGAGTCATACGCAGGTTCACTCAAGCGACTTTTCTGAAAGGGGAACCTTGGCTTTTCGTAATGTGGTGACCCTGCAGGGATCTGGGCAATACCAGGACACGCGTCTCCCATCCCAGAGAAGGTTCGCACATGCAAGGAGTTCTCGTACGATGCAAGGACAGCTTGCACGCGTGAGGAAGCAGTGGCAGATGGAACATCACCCGTCCTTCCGTTACCCCAAACATCATATTTGCAATGGAGTGGCTGTCGCTGTTTATTAATTTATTGTAATGACATATTAATTTATTTCATTTCTACACTGCCCTGCAGCCAAAGCTCTCTGGGCAGTTTACAACAGTCCATAAAATGGATAATAAAGCACGATAAAATAATAAAATCAGAAATGCACGAACAGTTTAAAACAGGCAAAATCAAGCCATGATGGGGAGAGACACAGTAAAACACCCAGGGTGGGCAATCCCCCAAGCCCCGGGGTCTTTAAAAGCCTCAGCGCAGAGGACCATCTTCCAGTAAGAGTTGGAGGAGGCCGTGGCAGCTTCCGTATCCTCATCGCGAAGCTTGCATGCCACCTGGTTGTGTGCGTGGGTGCTCAGGGCGAACTGATCGTCACAGACGCATCTATGCAGTTAAGCAGCTTCCGTCCACCTGGTAGAACTGCTGACTACAAACAGCCATCCAGGCCACATTTGGCAGGGAGTCTGAAAGGTTGGGGGCAGAAGGAAATGCCCCCTCTTGTATTGCTACCAGACATGCCCCTGATGGTGTCAGGGCAGAGAGAGGAACCTCCATGAAGGACCTTCAAAGCCAGGCAGGGTCTTCTGGGAGGAGGAGGTTGTGCCGAGTCCGGTCAGGTCTGGCCGGCGCCTTGATTCGTGCTCGGTGTGGCTCCCTGATTGCACATTACATGTGTTGGGAATGTGCGTCCGGGCTTGCGTCTGGGCACGCTCCGGTGCAGCAGTGCAGTGCGCGGGGGATCCACGGCCAGATGTTTCTGCAGAAGCACACCCATGTTGCGCCGAGGCAGGGCATGGCCACAGCCGCCCTCTGCTCCAGCCCCAGCAGAGGAGTTGTGGCGGGTCTTCCTTGGATCCCACGTTTATTGGGGCGGCTTCCTGTTGGGGGGGGGCAGGGGAACGAGAGAAAGGCTGGAAGGAATGCCAGTGAAGGAAGCCCTCTTCTCCACCAGCTCCTGGGGGCATGACTGCAAAACGGGAGCCGCATCCTTTTTGCCACATCTAGACTTGCCGCCTCTGTGGTCAGAAACTGCCTGCTTCTGCTCTGCTGCATTCCTTTCCGTGTGGGAGAAGAAATCCTGAACTTCGCATCCCAGATCTTGACAGCTGGAACAGAGCTCATCTAAACGTGCCTCCCAACCCAATAGGAAGAGGAATGGTTGAAAGCTGGGCATATTTAGACCGGACAAGAGAAGCCTCGGGGGAGACAAGAGGGTGGCCTTCAAATACCTGAAAGGCAGTCATGCAGAAGATGGACAGGCTGCTTCTTCGTTGCTCCAGAGGACAGAACTGGAACCAGGAAGGGAAAGTGGCAGTGGAAAAGGAAGGAGCAACATTAGCAGTGAGCACGGGGAAGGATGGGTCGTCCTTCGCTGGAGGTACATGAATGGGGACTCGGTGGCCTTCAGTCTGGGGCGCTGCTGTTGGCACAGCACCTGCGCCGACCGGGGCGTTGCGTGAGAACACCTCCGAGCTCTCGCCCAGCTCCATGGCGCTCTCCTGTATCCCTCCAGTGAGAACCAGTACACATTTTTCCTGCCTGCTTCCATGGCAAGAAGAAGAAGAGAACAAATCAGAGCAAATCGGCACAAATCAGAGCAGATCAGCTTTCCTTGGCTGGGTGCCCTCTAGATTTTCAGAGTTTTTCAAAAAGGCCACGATGTCCTCTGTCACTCTGGATGGGAGAGAAATTTGCTCAGTTTGCATTTTAACCCAAACAGACCCAATTTCATACCTTTGACCTGGGTAGAGATGTTGAAACTGGGACTCTTTCACTCTTTGAAATGAGTACTCCTGACTTTTGCAATGGCATTTCCCAATCCTGCCCCCCTCCACCCCAAAAAAATGCAGATACGCTTCTGTTAGGGGAAATGATGCATTAGTTAGTCAGTTGGTTTTATGCAGTGCCTGCATAAAAACTTTGGATGTCTTCACTGCTGCCAAAAAGAGAAAGAAATTCACAGAAATTAAAAACAGCACCCAAATCAGCTCATCATGTGCAGAACTTGACAATTTATATGACCTTTGATCTGATCTTTTCAGAAGTCGCTTCAAATGAGGGTACTTTGTTAGTGACATAAAGGTCTGTATCTACAAGTAGTTCATATATTTGCTCAGTCAAAGCTCTATCAGACATTCCTTCCAACAAATGTGCAAAACATACTTTCTGAGACTGGCATGAAGATTACAGAAAAATATGTGATGAACTATGCCCTCTGTAAAGCTCCATATATGCAAAGATGTTGAAATGTGGGAACAATTGTTTGCTTTATGTAGGGAAGAGAACTTGCACAAAATGCATATATTAGTCACAGAGGCATACCAAGACGTGTGTTTTAGGAGGCATATGCACAAGACAAAACATAAAGGAAATCTACATTCTGAAAAGCCAAGCTTAACACTAGATAAATTCTCAGAGTTTGAGAGGAACTGAAATTAAGGCTGGAAAAATGAGGAATGGAGTGAAATGGAAACTAACCAATTTGTTCATCTGTGGTGCTGCAAGCACATTCTGTGCCAGGGCTGCAAACAGAGAAACCAAACTGAAACCGTGTCTTTGTGGGCAGATGCAAATGGAGGAGAAATGAAACTTGGTCTGACAGTGCAGCGTCAGGCTGAGTCCAGGGAGCAAGTGAGAAGCTCCCAGTGAGTAAGCGGGACGGACGCTCGGTCCCTTCCTTCCTTCCTTCCTTGGTTGGGGCCACCTTGTCACTCGATCTCGCCAATGACACAAGGTGGCATTTTGGCAAAAGACCGGCGCGTTGCTGCTTTGCTTAAAGTAGGCTCCTTCCCACGCAGCGCTTCTGCCAAGCTGCCTCGTCCCAGGAACTCTAACTCTGCCTTTCCGTACCTGGGGCTCTCCAGATGTGCTGGATTACAGCTCCCATAAGCCCCCAGCTTTCAGGAGCCTGCTGTAACCGGAGGAGACGGATAGTTCTGGCCAGTCACAGGCCAGAGCCAGTTCAACAGCTGCCCATTAGATTCCCAATGGGCCCACACGGCTCAGCTCCACCATCATCCACGGTGCCATTTGAAGCAGAAAGATGGGATATAAATTTGGTAAATATTGCAACAAGTCCCTCACCTGAGGACTCGCACTCCTATGGAAGGGCTCAGAAGGATACAGACAAGCGGGAATACGTGTGAAATCTTGGCACCAGCGTGGGCATGGCCCGGTGGGAGTGACCGGAGCTCAGTGGCAGAGCATACAAAAGTGAGCAGAGCCTTCCTGGATCCGTCCAGCTCACCACCATTCCGATCGCCAAGCAACTGCCGCCATGGGCCACACGAAGGCCGGGGAAGAAAATTGGCTCAGCGGGTAGCCAGAGCCCCGCAGCTCATGTTGATCACGAAGCCGAGCGCAGTCGAGGCCAGGGGTCTCTCATCGAGCTCCAATTATTACGTTCCTGGGAGGTGGGGCGTTTTTGCTCTTGCAGTCCATACTTGCAATCCCCAGATGTAAGACCCAGCGAAAGTCACCGCATCCTGTGATACCAGATTTCCTCTTCCTTACTTTAATTGCGTTCCAAAAAGAGACCAGACATAATGACTTATTTTATATTGTAATTCGTTTTATATTTTTAACGTATTATATTTTAATGTTTTGTGAGCCGCCCCGAGGCTTCGACGAATGGGGCAGCATAGAAATTTTCTAAATAAATGAATAAATAAATAAAATAACTGGTGTGACTTATTATTTACTGAAATCCTCTGTATCCCCTCCTATATCTGATCAGGATCTCAGGATGGCTTATACAAAGACTATAAAATGGCAGTAACTCCTAAAATTCACAACAGCACTTGAATAGAATCGCAGTATGAACATATACAATAAAATCATTCTAGCCGCCAAAATACTGGGCACATGAAAAGGGCTTGGCCTGGCACTGAAATAATCAAGAGTTGGTGCCAGGCACACCCCTCCGGGGAGCAGATTCCGCGGCTGGGGTGCCACCACGGAGAAGGCCCTTCCTCCGCAGCCGCTCTTCTAAGAGGGATCCTGCAGAAGGGCCACAGCAGAGGATCGCAAGGTATAAAAAGCCCTGTGCCCGTGGCAGGAGGGGAGCGGTGCTGGCTGCCCCCACGGGCACTCCGTGATGCTGCCCTGCTTCTCCAGACCCTCTCCCTGCAAGAGCCCAGCCTTGACGAAAGCCTGTTTGGATCGCAACGATTGGACCGGAGTGTTCGTTAAATGCGGTTTTTCTCCCGCACGAGTCTGCTCTGCCTCCAGAGAGAGAAATAGGAAGCATTCCGTTCACGCAGTGCCCAACCTGCCGCCTGCAGGAAACCCACGAGCAGGACAAGAGCGCAGCAGCACCCTTCCACCCATGTTCCCCAGCCGCTGGGGAGCATGGGCATCCCGCCTCCGATGCTGGAGGGAGCGTTTAGCCCCCAGGACGAGCAGCCGCCGCCGGCCTCCCCCATGCATTTCCTCTGAGGGCCCTTGGGCTGGGCGGCTTCCGTGGGCGCCTCTCCCTCCGTGGATCTCTTGCCCCCCAGCGTGGGCTGCTCTTCCCCATCCCCGTTGCCTGCTTGCTTTCCAGGCGGAGAGGCCACGAGCAGGTCCGCCACGGCATGTGCTGCTCCTCCAAACTGCCCCTGGAGCCTGGGCCAGAATGAGTGGCAGGGGAGCCCTCCTAGGGCTCGGGGGGGGGGGGGCTGTGGGCCCCTGGTGGGCGCCTGTCCAGGCAGGCCCTGGGTGCTGGCTGTGGGCAGACCATGTGGGGTCCCAGGATCCTCTGCTGGCCTCTCCCGCCGTAAGGATTTCTGGAAAACCTGCTTCTGACACCCTGCAGAACAACCGCCCCTCAGGACAGGAAGCGGAGGGTTTGGGGGCCAAGTGGCCCCAGCCAGCGCTAGCGCAGCTCCTTGCACGCCCAGCCCCGTGGGCCAGGGGCCTCCCTGTCCTCGCGCGGTCATGCACCCGACTGCATTTGCTTTGTTTTCCACTCCAGGAACTTGCATCGGGTCAGCCTGGGGGAATCGCCATGTCGACCCTCCTCTTCCTCCTGGGATTCGCTCAGTGTGTCGTTCAAGGTAATTGTCAGAAATGGTGCTCCCCCCCCCCTTTTCAGCTGGCCAGGTGGAGCCCTCCGGAGATGCCCTGAGTGGAGGAGACGGGCTGGCCACGCTTCTGAGCAGCAAGTGCCGGGGGTGAGCCGGAAGGGGAGCGCGGTGGCCGCCATGATCAGAAACGTGAGGCTGCCTGGGCGAGACAGGTGCCCTTCCGGGTTGGCAACCAGCAGCTGCGTCTTCCTGCAAAAGCAGGGAAGGAGCTCCCCCCTCCCCGCGCCCAAGGGCAGCAGGCGAGCGGAGCAGGCGCAAGGCCGGCCACGGGGTACCCAGGCCCTCACGCGGCCGCCCTCCAAAGCCCCGCCAAGGCCACCACTCTAGCTGAGGGAGCCGCCCAGCGACCGGGCCCCATGGGCTTGCGAGGGCCTCGGGCCACCTGGCCGAGCTAGCCACCGCTGGCCGAGCTGAGCCCGGGCCGAAAGCAGGGGGTGCCCTTGGCAGCCCTTTACTCATTCAGCTGGAGGATGCCTTCGTGTTTTAGCAGTTGCGTTTGAAACCAGCCTCAAGTCTTGGACAGCTGTTTAATGTCAGCGATTCTTTCTTCCCTGCCATAGGAGACGACACACACACACACAGAGGTCTGAGGGCAAACCCTCGCAGGAGCCCCTGTGCCTGGAGGGGGGTTGCTGTGAGGCTCGCCCTCTGAGTTAGGAACCCATTAAATAGTTCCTTTAAACGTCCGCTGGATTTCCTGTGCATGGTCCACTGTGTGTCCATGTTTCTTGTCAGGATTTCAGTCTTGATTCCGTTTTCAAGCTTGCAACTGCTGCCACTCCCAACATTTAATGTTCGTTCATTTTGTTCATTCCTTGCTCTTCATGGAAACCTCTCCGATCCATTTAACACAAGTGCGGCAGCTGTAATCGCTCGCAGGGAGAGTGACGTGTCCCACGAGAGACTGAATGAGCCTCCCAGGAAGAGCCCTTCTTGCCAGAGCATGGGCCCCGCGTCCTGTTCCCCAGGGGTCAGTCCTCGGGAAACCCACAAGCACTGCTGGGCACTGGAGGTCCCCTGTAGCCCGCAGGACCACTGGCTGGCCTTCCCCGCAGAACATGGGACCAGCCCTGCTGGACTGGAGCCAGGGTCCCCGCAGGTCAGCTCTCCACACACACGGAGGCACACCTGCTGCCCACAGGGTCCCTCCGGCAGGATGCGTGCAAGGCCTCTGCCTGCCAGCTCCTCAGCCGCTGGTGTGTGGGGCAGGCCACCACCGGTGAGGGAGGGAGCACTTGGTCCACAAGGCTTGGAGCCACGGGTGGCCCCTCCCTCATGCGTCTGGCCAGTCCCCTCAGACTGGCAGCCACCACCACTTCCCGTGGCAGCGAGTTGCTGGGCGAAGAAGGACTTCCAGTGATCTGTCCTCCCCTGCAGAGGAAGGCAGGATGCGCCCCAACAGAGCCAAGCTCAGGGAACCAAGGTTCCATCTGGATGCCAGGAAGCGCTTCCTGACAGTCAGGACCCCGAGGGTGTGCAGTGGGCTTCCCCGGGAGGTGGTTGAGGCCCCATCGGTGCGGGTGTTCAAGGACAGGCTGGACATGCACATGGTGGGCATGTCATGAGCAGAGCCGGCTGGAGCCGGGGGTCAGTCTAGATGGCCCGGGAGGCCCCTTCTCACTCGCTCTGTTTCTGTGTTTCTGTGTCCTCAGCCTCCCCGCATCAGCTTCATGGGATGGCCCCTCTGGGTGCTTGTGCTGTGGGAGAGGGAGAATTATGTCTCCTCCTCTCCTAATGTGTCCAGTCCCCTCCGAAGGTGGCCGAACGGGCGGCCACCAGGGCAGCTCCTGGAAGCGAAGTCCACAGTGCAGCTGCAGAAAGGACGTCTCTCATCTGTCCCGAATCAGCTCATGGGAGAAGAAAGTCTCCCCCTCCGCTTCCTCCGCGCCCAGCAGCGTTTGGGGGGCATCGCGTCAGTGCGGCCTTCTCCTCTTTCACGCTCCTTTCCATTGTGTGCCGCCTTCCTGTCATTCGCAGGCTCTGCTTCGTGGGGAGCAACGTACCCGGGAAGCCTGCTGAGCGTCAGGGGGTCCTGCGCCGTGATCCCCTGCACCTTCCGCTTCCCCAGCAACGTGGACAGCAGCGCTGGCATCACGGCCATCTGGTACAAGGAGCACGCGGGCCAGCAGATTACCGTCTACCACTCGGCGACGCCTGCCAGCGCCGATGAGCGGTTCCGGGCGCGCACAGAGCTGCTGGGCAACCCTCTCCAGAAGAACTGCTCCCTGCTCCTGAGGGCCGTGACGACCTCGGACAGCGGCAAATACAACTTCCGCTTCGAAGTCCGTAATGCCAACAGCTGGACCGAGAAGCGCACGGTGCAGCTGACCGTCACTGGTGAGCGTGCGCTAGGCCCGGGGCCCTCCTCGTCTCCTGGGAGGTTCCCAGGCCGGTGGATCCTACCAAAACTCGGAAGCCCGCGCAGGACTGCAATAAGCGAATAAGCGGAGTGCTGCTTTCCTGAGTCCTGCGGAGCCGCGGGCCGCTTGTGTCGGGGGGGACCAAGGTCGTGGCTGTGACGGGCACGGCTGTCCTGTCCTCGAGACCCAGAGCAGGGAGGAGCTCCGGCTCGGGACAAAGCGGCTCTGGCCGATCTTCATGGCCTGTCAGAGCCCAGCCAAAGGCAAACAGTGGGAAGCAGGAAGCCTGGTCAGAACGGGGAAGCCATGCCCAGGAAGAGCCGGAATCAGGACAAGCTGGGCGCCAGGATGTCTATTTTTGCCCAGGGAAAGCCCCAACCTGAGCAGGAAGCCTTTCTGTGGAAGGCCACCCCATCCAGCTGGCTGGGAGGGAATTCAGAGCCGGAGAGCAGGCAGCAGGCTGGGAAAGGGAGCTGAGCTGCTGGGGAGAGGAGCCTCCCGCGTCCAGCAGCTTCTCGGGCAGGAAGTCGAGGTTTCATGGCTGCTGATGGGGACCTCGCTGCCACTCATTAAGGGCACTGCAGTCGCATGGCAGGAAGGCTCCTGACCGTGACTGGTGGGGCTGCTGCAGTGGGGCAGGCAAGGAGAGCCCTAGCAGCCGCTGGCTGAGCTGCTCGCGCCCCAGAGAGGGGCAGTGCAGGAAAGGCAGCCCAGGAACGGAGGGAGCAACCGAGGATGAGAAGGCTGCACGGCAAGGGAAGCGGGAGAGCGCAGGGGCAGGGGGCTTGAGCTGCGAGTGGGGCAGAACGGTGAGGGGCGGGACCAGAGCACGGAGAGCGGAGCGGAGCTGAGGAGCTGGCCGGCAGCATCAGCGGGGCAGGGCAGGGAGGCCTCACGGGGTCCAGGCACGGGGGCCGCTTTATTGGTGGGGGAGGCACTGATGCTCCCTTCCTCGGGCATCCCTGTCAGCTGCACGGTAAGTGAGGAAATGAACCTACATGTGTCTTATTCCTCTTGCATTGCAAAGCCTTTTGATCGGGCTTGGTCTGGAAAGGGCAGTTAAGACCCAGTGTTGATTGACTGATTGATTGATTTCATGCTTATGCCACCTAAAAGCCAAGGCTCTCTGGGCAGTTAATGAAAGTTAAAAGCACGCAAACAAGAGAAAAATTAACATAAGCCATGCAACCACAATAATTGCGACCGAATCAGCACAGAGCGGTGCAGGATAAAATGCAATATTAAAACTAAAGTTAAAACGTTAACTGTCAAAATACTGGGAATCATAGAATCATAGACCAGAAGAGTGGGAAGGGGCCCTGAAGGTCATCGAGCCCACCCCCTGCTGTTGCAGGACACCAGGTCGCACCACCCCACTCAGAGGGCTGCCCAGTGTCTTTTGAATGTCCCCAGTGTGGGAGAGCCACACCAGATAAAAATGTTTTCACGTGTGCCAAGAAGAATACAGCGTAGGCTCCAGGTGCACCCCTTTAGCAAGCTTGTTCCCAAACCAGGGTGCCACAACCGGAAAGGCCCTTCCCCCGGAGGCCACCCTCCTCGCTTCCTCTGGAGGGGGATTCTGGAGAAGACCCTGAAAGTGGCCTTGGGGTCCAGGCAGGTAGAGCTGGGGCGAGGCGTTCCTTCACATCACCTGGCCCAAAGGCGTTCGGGGCCTTGAATGGTAAGACTTTGAATCAGGCCCGGCAGTCAGTGCAGCTGGAAGGGGACTGGCGTCACTGTTAGCAGGTTTCCAAAAGGCCTGCTGATCGGGGAGATGAAAGACGAAACTGCAAGGATTGGTTTGTTGACTTGGAGATTTGGGTCTGGCTCCGCATTTAAGCCGTGGTGGGCTACGGTTTTGGCATGTGCCACGCTGACTATTCAACCCCTGGGAGCGGGGGCGGGTTTCCACGGTTTCTTGCTTGACCCAAGCCTGGATGGCAAAGTTTTGACTCTGCAGCCCTCAGCAACACTCAGACAACTCTTGCACAGACCACGGTTCCTCGACCCCCAGGCAAACGCTGGTTCCCAGGTTCAGCTGGCACAAGAAGCCATATCGGGGCTGAGCAGGCAGCCTACAGGCGCTGCGGGTCTTGGGGGCTGAAGCAGGTCAGACGGTTCCTCCTGGACATCTCAGGCTGGCGTCCTGTGTGTGCTGGGGGCCTGTGGTGTCCCCCGCTTTCCCTCTCTCATGCAGTCTTCCCCCAGCACAGGGCAAACTGGCATTGCAGTACGTTTCCCGAGCATGCTGCGTGCTTCAAAGGGAGTGGTAGGGAGCAGCTTCTGCTGACATTTGAATCCTTTACCGGTGATGTGCAGGATTCGTCCCTTCATATGGCAAGAGCCTCCCCGGTGCTTTCTGGGCCTTTTAAGGCATGAAGGTGTTGGCAGGTGTGCCGGGAAGCAGCACGATCGCCCCATGCCCTGCGATAAGCGGCTTAGAGCAAGTCCCGAGAGCAGCACGGGCGATGCGCTGCGCAGCCCCCGGTGCTTTGAAGCGCCTCCCCTTTGGATTCCAGCGCCTGGCCGGGCTCTCGCGAGGTCCCACCCTCCAGCGGGGCCCACTGCCAGGAGCCTTGGGGTCCCTTCCCCTCTTCCCCGTTGCAGCCGAGACAACCGCAGAGCCCAGAGCTCCAGAAGTGGGAAGACACGCCGGCGTTCCCAGGCTGTGGATTCCCCGGCCAAAACTCGGCCATCGAGGCCCGGCCAGGCCCGGCACACGCCTCCTGTGGGGTCAGCCGTGTGAGGGAGGGGGCCCCTGCCATCGCCGAGAGGTCGGCACAGAACGGCTGCCGCAATTGCTTCTGCCTCCGCGGAGCTGCCGTTTCTCCCGCCGGCCTCGCTCCGGCACACCTGCGCGTGCAGGTTCTCCGCAGGGAGCACACACCTACTTCCAGGGCTTGCTTCTCCAGGACTCAGCTCCCTAGAGCTGGGACAGGCCACGCATGGCGCCCCGGCCCTTGTGGCGCCCTGGCTTCATCCAATGCACTGTGGCAGGGGCAAAAGAGGGATTTCGCTCGGAAGCAAAGCTGGTGCTGGTTGGGAATGAGTGCGGATGCCATCCTGCTCACCTGGAGGGCATGCGGTTGGAGATTGCCGCTTCTGCCAGCCAGCCAGCCAGCCATATTACCTGGAAAAGCAAAGGCTCGTTCCTTGCTGACCCAGAAAATGGAGGTACAGTGCCCTTTTGCCTCGCTTCCTCAGACAAGCTGGAGCCTCCAGCAGTCGCCTCTCTGGGAGATCTCCAGGAAGGAGTCCCGGCCACCTTCAACTGCTCCAGTCCCTACGTTTGTCCGTTCGCAACCAGCTCCCTCCAGTGGACGGGCTACAATGCGGAGGCCTCCCTCGTGTCTGAGCAGGTCCAGCTAAGCACCGCAGGGGTGCTCTGGAGAGAAACCCTCCACACGTCGTTTTCCTGGAAGGAGCACAACCAGAAGCTGAGCTGCGAGCTGTCTGTGGGCACGGAGAAGGCGGTGGGAGACATCACAGTCCGAGTGAAGCGTGAGTGGCGCGGGACCGGAGTGCTGGGGAGGGGGCGTGAGCGGTGGCGCTCGCTATCGTTCCCACTCCACCGTCTCCTTTTCGGCTTGGGAATATTCAGCGTGCTACAAAAGCAGGGCAAAGTTGCCCTAAAGAAAAAGTAGGCCAAAGAAAGGACAGCAGAGCTTGAAATAGGCTAGCCCAGGGGTCGGCAACCCGCGGCTCCGGAGCCGCACGTGGCTCTTGCACCCCTCTGCTGCGGCTCCGTCGCTCAAAACACGCGCCAGCACAGCCCCCGATCTGCTCGAAGCTCCACTCGGGAACACAGCGATAGCTAGTTAAGTAAATCAGCTAGTAAATTACTACGTTCCTCTGCTAAACAAGCTTCCTGCAGGCGCTCGTGTTACACAAAACACTGCTGAAAAGATTTATTTATTTATTTATTAAAACATTTCTATGCCGCCCCATTCGCCGAAGCCTCGGGGCAGCTCACAACATAAAATTAAAATATAATACATACAACAAATTAAAGATTCCCTTTGTCCCAATGTAATCCCTTTTATCTGAATGTTAAAAGCTGCGCTTGGGACCTGTCACAATTCACAGCACTTGACTTTTTATCTGCTAATCGGTCACTAACACACCTATAGTGATCTGTGTCGATTTGCTTTTACTGCTGACGAACTTATGGGGTTTGCTGTTTAATGCATGCAGCCCTTTAGCACTGACTTTGACTCTTCAGGAAGCTGTTCTCCTATTCAAAATATATGAAAGGAGTCCTACTAGCTTATAATGTAAGATTAAAAATAACAGTTTTTAGTGACTGAACAAGAGCTGCAGCTAAATCATAATGAAGATAATACATAGCATTAAGGTAAAAAACGATATATGCAGTGTTATCTTCATTTTAGAGGTCAAAAGGGTTTTGCGGCTCCCGGTGTTTCCTTTTGTGTGGGAAACGGGTCCAAATGGCTCTTTGAGTGTCAAAGGTTGCCAACCCCTGGGCTAGGGCAACCCGGACTCTCGTCGTGCCTGCAGCTAAATCTGGGCTTTGAAAAGGCCCGCGGGAGGCCTGTGGAAGGCCAGGGGTCTTCCTTGCAGGGATCTCCTCCAGTGATTCCCATCTTTTCTTCCTTCACGGATTTTTATGGGGGCAAGAAAGGCAGAAGAATCAGTGGGGAATGCAGGAGAGCTGCAAGGGGGAAGGATGGCGTCTGGGCGGTGCTAAGAGTCGAAGAACGAGAGACAGTGTGGTGCAGTGGTTAAGCACATGGGATTGGGACTGTACCCGGGTTCTAATCTTCTAATCCGCACTCAGCCACAGAGCCAACTGGGTGTCTTTGGGCCAGTCTCCGCCTCTCAGCCCAGCCCACCTCACAGGGGTGTCGTTGCGGGGATAGGATGGAGAGCAGCAGGGGGAGACAGTTGTAAACCTTCCAGAGTTCTTTAAAAAGCCCAAGGCAGGCTGTGAGTCTAACAAATAAGAACTGGGCAATGTGAGAAACCCTCAAGCACAACGTTTCTCTGTCTAAAAGCAGCCCCAGATTTTCCAGACCATGGGCTGCTTCTCCTCCAGAGGGGCTGGCCAACAGCTCCCATTCTCCTCAGCCATTTGGGAGCTGTAATCCAGCCCTGGCCCAAGGGGAAGGCAGACCCTCCCCTGCTCACCCACCCCCAGTGCTGGGCACGGCTTGGTCTGGCAGGAGCTGCTGAAGCGATTGCTCCTTGCAACCCGCGGCCGCTCTCAGCCCCGCTTCACCTGCTCCTAGATGCCCCGCAAGGCGTGGCGGTGTCCCTGAACCCCCCCGCCCAGAACATCCGAGTGGGCGACGCAGCCTCCCTGGTGTGCAACGTCAACAGCAGCTACCCAGACGTCGCGAGCTACCGGTGGTTCAAAGATGGCGCTGCCAGTGGAAACGAGCGGGTTAAATCCTTCCCCAGCGTCGCCCGGGAAGATTATGGGCAGTACCGCTGCGAAGCCACCAACTCGGTCGGCACCGGAAGAGCTGAGGAGGTGACATTCTTCGTTTTCTGTGAGTACCAAGGACGCGGTCCCCCCGAGACTGGGCGGTCGAGCCCAGGAGGGGCCCCGGGAGGGGTATGGGGTGCCCACCCGGGGCCCCACACGCAGACTTCCGGCCCTTTATCTTGCCATCTCTGCGAGTGCGAGTTTACCTCTGTCAGAACTTCGCACTGTATCTGTGTGGTCGGAACACCTTGTATAGCCAACGGGATGGCTGGGGATGATGGGGCTTGTCCGCGCTCTGTCTGGGGAGCTTGGACGGCCGGGTGCTGTGGCACTCCCACTTGCGGGGTCCCGTAGGCAGCTGGAGGGCCACGGAACAGAGCGCGGGACTGGTGCCCCCGGCTGCTCCGGCACGGCTCTTCTTGTCCGAGTGTCCCGGGCCGGAGGGGCTGCCACAGAGAGGAGGCGGCGGAAGCGCTGCCACGGCACTTGGCGCGGGGCTGTTTCACACATGGCTCTCCCCTGCCCCTTCCCCTCTCCCCGTCGCCCCAGCCCCGGTCTTGTCGGTGAGCCCTTCCTCGAGCGTAAGGGAAGGCGAGGCGGTCACGCTGGCGTGCGACGTCCCCGGGGAAGACAAGCAGGAGCTGCAGTACAGCTGGTCCAAGAACGGTGCCTGGCTGCAGGACGGCGCCACCCGGAGCCTGGCTTTCCACGAGGTCGGCGTGGCGGACGCGGGCTCCTACATGTGCCAAGTGCAGAACGACAGGGGGAGCGAGACGTCGCGGGCCGTGGAGCTGAACATCGTCTGTGAGTTCCCGGGGGCCCCGTTTCCTGCCCGACGTCCCGGGCCCTGAGGCGCTTGTGGTGCCACTCCAGTGAGGCCCTTGCTGCCCAGGGTCTTCTGGCCGGGAAATGAAATCCAGCCAGGACTGGGGTGCGCCCTGAGTGCACAGAGCTCTGCGCTCAACCCTATGTAGGTTTGGCCAGAAGCAAGCACCGCAATTCCCAGCATGCCCCAGCCAGCAAGGCTGGCTGGAGCATGCTGGGAGAGAGAAGACAGGATCCGGGGTCAGACTAGATGGCCCGGGAGACCCCTTCTGCCTCGCGCTGCTTCTGTCTTTCTGCGTCTTCGGCCTTCTCGCGCCCTTCCTGGGACTTGCTGCTGGCAAGGAGAGCTGCAGGTGAAAACAGACTCGGCCTTATCCCGCTGGGCTGCTTCGGAGCCTGCCTCCTCTTGTATTCTGGGCTGTGGGAGGTTCTCCAGAATCCACCTCTTGGGCTGAGTTTGGGCTCTCAAGTGCAACTCCCCCTTTTCGCCTGTCCAAGCCTGTCCCCTGGGGACTTAACTGGCTAAGGGGGCCACCCCAAGCCAGCTGCTCCCACCGTTCCTCGGCCTTCCAAGAAAGGGAGGGTTTTTCTGGCTAAACAGACACAGGATCGCACCTGAAGGTCGTTTGCTCTCCTCCATCCTCCGACAGAGGATGTGCCCCTACAGCAGGGACACAGGCACCCGTAACTCCGGGAAATTTATTTTTCCCAGGGCTACCAGAGTAAGCAAAAGAGGGTGGAGACCTGCAGTGCAACAGGGGCTTATCTTGCAACGAGTTGGACTTGGAATCCATCGCGCTGCCTCCCAGTATAGCCATGGTGTTGTTAACGCCATCAGGCCTTCTTCGATGTAGGCTGACCCTACAAATGACAGCCCCGCAAAATGTCCCAGCCGTGGCAGCCCTGCTCAGCTCTTGTCAATGTGTGTGCTTGTGCATGTACATGCAGATTTATATTCCTCCGGAGAGAGGCGGAAGTTGCTCTCTGAGCCGGTGCCAAACTGGATGGGAAGACGGCTCAGCCTGAGGAAGCGAGAAGTTTCGGAGCCCGTTGAAACGGCCAGGCCAGCAGTGTGCGCAGCAGAAATGCAGCCCAGCTGGCCAGATGCCTGTGCTTGATGAGCGGGGGTCTGCTTTGCGTTACACTAACCAGGGAGCTTCGGGGACAGATGAAATGGGGGGTTTATGAGCGTTGCACTGAAGTTAAAGAATGAGAGCCGGCAAGGCTGGCTCTGTGAACGTGCATCTCCACCCGCTTGAGCAAGGCTCAGGTTCAGCGCTGCCTGCTTTCCTTTTACACTCCGAGCTGGTAAATACGACCACATCCCCTCAGTCTTTTCCATTCCCGTATAGTTGCCCTTCCTTATCTGTTTCTGTGAATTTGTTTGTGTACGTCTAGCACACTTGGAATGTGGGTTCGGACGTAGCACACGCAAAACCGGCGTTGTCAGATCGCCTCCAAGCCCATTCCAAGCTTTGCGCTAGCTCTGGGCCAGCAGTGCTGAGCTTTACGCCATGAGCAGAAGTACGGAAATGGCAGACCCGAAGCTGGGGCCTGGAGGAGGCGACAGGGTGCCGTGGCGCAGGGCAGCGGGCTGAATAGCGGACGTGCCTGGAGGGGGCCGGATGGGGAAGAGCCGTCCTGATGCCCGGCGTTGCCAGATTCCTCAGGGAAACGAAGCACAAGCCCCAGAGATGTTTTAAAAAGCCCTCTACTGCAGGTTTTGATGTGCACAGCCTGGCTCTGTGTGGCTTTAAGGGCCCTGAAGGGCACCCCTGTTTGTATGGAAGGCGAAGAGGGCATTTGATTTCGGGACGAAAAGCCCGCGCACGTCCAAGGAGTGCGAAGGAGGTCCGCCGGGCCAGCCGGCGGAGGGGCAGGGAGCCTCCCAGGGAGTCAGGCGCTTCCCACTGCGTCCTGCCTCAACTAAGCCCCCCGTGGTTGCCTTTGCCCTGCGCAGATCCTCCCAGGAGCCCCTCCCTCACCCTCTTCCAGGAGACCCGGGAGGGACAGCTGGCCTTCCTGGCCTGCACTGTGGACAGCAACCCGCAGGCCACCCTGAGCCTCTACCAGGACGGGCGGCTCGTCGCGAGGAGCAGTTCCCACTCGGTTCTCAGCCAGCGGCGCAGCATCACCTCCACCCGCAACGCCCTGAAGCTGGAGATCAAGAAGGTGGTCCCAGAAGACGCGGGGGAGTACGAGTGCGTGGCCACCAACAGCTACGGCAACTCCAGCAGCACGCAGCTCTTCAGCGTCCAGAGTGAGTCGGCCGCTCTGCAAACGCACGGTGGCGCTTGAGTAGCGTGGGTCTGGGGGCACCTTAAGAACATGCAGATCTAGAGGGGCCCGCAGTGAGGGGACTTGTGCGCAGAAGGGACCTGGCCAGTCAGGGATCTTCGCAGGTGGCTTGGCTCCGGCCCGGCTCTGCCTGACCTCTGCTTGCAGGGGAGGGTTTCCCTGCTAAGCCAGCCGCTGTGCTTGCTTGCGTCTGGCCGGCCACAGCCTGGAGCAGAGCGTGCTTGCTGTTATCGCAACACTGGGAATAATGCGAGTCGCTGCCCAGGGCATCTGGAAGGCGCCGGGCTGGGAAGGCTGTTTGCAGCGTCGGGACAAAAGGCCGGTCTCTGCCCCAGAGAGCCTGCAGTCTCGACTTGAGGAAAATGTTTACAGGAAGAGCTGTGTCCAGCGTATCCTCACAATGCCACACAAGGCAGCCGTCAGATGGACGAGCGTTCCTGGGGGATCCCAGGCCGGTCTTTCATCCCGTTCCGTTCATTATGCTTCCAGGCGGCCCAATAGCCAAAGCTCTCTGGGCAGTTTCCAGGGAGGGAAACTTTTAAAAGCACAACATGGTACCTAGTATGCAATGTACAATTTAAAAGTCCTGAGACGTTTATGTATAGGATGGGATAGAAAAGTTTTAAATAAATAAGTTTTATAAATAAAATGACTCTGTGCTTGCACAGGTGGCAAGCTCCCCTTGCCGCACCCACACGTGCCCTGTTGAGGGGGTGTTGGGAGTCGCAGGCCGAAACGTCTGCCAGGCCTCAAGTTGCCCGCCCCACCCCGGGCCGATCCAGCTCGTTAGCCAGGCAATTAACCGGTGTGCTCTGCCTGTCCCTGCCGCCCTCCTCACAGCCGCCCGAGTGCACGTCAGCCCCTCCAGCGAAGTCCCCGAAGGCGAGCGCGTCGCCCTGACCTGCCTGGCCGCCTCGGGGCCGGGAGAAGAGTCCACGTACACCTGGTACAAGAATGCCAAGTGGCTGCGGGCCGGGCCGGAGAGCGCCCTGGTCTTCCCCGCGGTGGCCAGCACGGACGCCGGGACGTTCCACTGCGAAGCCCGGAGCAGGAATGGCAGCAGCGCCTCCCCGGCCGTCCCTCTCCGGGTCCTGTGTGAGCAGCCCTGCCCCTGCCCCAGGGAGGGAGGCGGGACCACCCCCCCACGAAAACAGGCAGCTGTGGGGTCGTGGGCTGCAGGGGACCATGGCAGGGCGAGCCGCTGGCGGGCCCTCTCCCCACGTGCCCCTCCGAGGCACGTTGTGGGGCGCCCAGCTGCCGCCGCCGCCACTTCCCAAGCCCAGTGGTCCTCTGGGGACAGAAGAGGGAGGCCGTTGCGGCTGATGCCTCCCCTGCAGCGCGGAGAAGGGGGCTCCACGGGAGGAAAGGGGGTCCCCGGGTGGACTGCCCTGAGGGGACGCGGGAAGGGCAGGAGGGGCAGCGCTGGGAGGCGACGGGGTTGGCGCAGGAGGCCCTCGTGCTTGGACACCTGAAGGGAAGGAGGGGGTGGGGACTGGGGGGTCTTCCAAAAGCAGGAGTGGGGTTTTGCCGTGTGGGGATGGGGATGGGGAGGGCCTTTGTGTGTGTGTGTGACAGAGAATGTGTGTGTGGGAACTGGGATGCGGGGAAAAGGGGGAGGGCGGCGAATGTGGGGGGCAGAGCATGGGGAGTGATATGGCATGGGCCTTCACAGAGCAAGGTTCCCTTGGCCACGGGTGAGGTGAGCCCCAGGGCCGCCTTCGGCATGCAGGGGCCCCAGCCCCCTCTGCGCCTCGCCTGGCCAGGCTGCCCGGCCGTTGGGCCAAGCTGCCCCCAGCAGCCCTTCTGCAGTGGCGCGGCTGCCCCGGCTGCTGCCCCCAGGCCCTCCAGGGCTGCCCAGCCCCAGGCTGGGGCACCTCGCAGGCTGGTTTGGTCGGCTTGGCCGGGAGGCAGGCTGGGGGCAACGGGAAGCCGAGGGGAGGGGCGGGGGCTTGCCCTGCTCCGGGCAGCGGAAGGCGTGCCTGCACCACGCGTCAAATGCGGGCCAGTGCTGCGTCTCCCCCGCCCTGGACGTGGCCAAATGCAAAGCAACACAAAGCAGCAGGAATGGCACGCAGGGGCGTAAAATCGAACGGGGCAGAATCGAGCCCTCCGTGCCTCCTGGGGGAACGACCGGCTAGCGGACCAACAGCCACGGCTCAAGCCACCACAGCCACGGAGCAGGCTCGGGGGGGGCAGTGGCCCTTTGGACGCCCCCTTCCTACGCCATGGAGGACTTTAGGGCCAGGGCCGGCACCCCGGCTTGGCCTTGGAGGCACGTGGGCGGCTGGAGCAGGACCGGCACAGCACGGCCCACGATGCCACAGCGGCCAGCGATGGGGCTGTGCGTGCCGCCCCAGACTGTCACAGCTGCTTTGTGAGGGACGCTCCATCCCTTGTGCCGGACCCCTTAATTAGTGGGGGGGGGCGGTGTGAGGTGGGCACCACAAGTCTGCTGCTGCCAACAGTCTCGGGGGCAAATCTGCCCGTCCGCATTCCCCACCTGCCCGGTCCCCAGGCAGTTCCCCAGCCAAGGGCAATTTTGCACAGCCCCCTCCCCATCCCAAAGCGCTGCGATGCCTCTCGCAAGACGCCACGCGTGGCAGGAAGAGCATCCCGCTAAAGTGTGCGGCCGTTTTCCGTGCTTTTGTCTGCACCCCTTTGGTCTTTGCCGCCGTGATGCAGCTCCAGAGTTGGGCCCCCCAGCCTGGATTAGGAGCTGGGGCTCGGGTGCGAGATCTCTGGTTTTGCAGCCATTACTGGCTCTAGGAGGGAAGCAGGCAGGCCTGCGACCGGGTTGCCATCCCAGAGGAGCACGGGCTGCAGGGGCCCGTTTCCTTGCAAATGCTGACCCCCTCCCTCTGGTTCCCAGTGGCCTCCTCAGAGAAATCCGTTGAGGTGGAAAAGATGGAACAGCAGAGCAAGGCCTTGTGGGCGGTGGCCCCTGGAGTCCTCTGCCCGGAAGCTCCCTCTGTGCCATGGGCACCCACACGCCTTGCTTTCTGCCCCATAGATTCTCCACGCCTGCCCATTATGAGCTCCTTGCTGCAGACCCGAGGGGGGCGTCTTGGCATCCTCCAGTGCACCGTCGACAGCGACCCCCCGTCCGAGCTGGCCCTGTACAAGGGGGACACGCTCATTGGCTCCACCAGCAGCAGCCCTGCGGACGGGGACCCACGGCTCCGCGTGACCTCCGCGCACAACACACTGAAGCTGAGCATCACAGACGTGACCCTGGAAGACGAAGGGCCGTACGTGTGTTCCGCTGAAAACCGCTACGGAAAGTCGACGGCTTCCCTGGACTTCGCTGCTGAGAGTGAGTCCCTGGGAGAGACGCATTTCCGCACGTGCGAGAACAGCGAAGCTACGATTGGCCCCTCAGGGATAAGGCAGGATGGATGATCCCCCTGAGAACATCGGATGATCCCCCTGAGAAGCACACCTGTGGAGATGCGGTCACCTGTTTGTGTGTGTCTGCTGGGGTTGGGAGCGCCTGCATAGAAACAGAGTGAGTCAGAAGGGGTCTCCCGGGCCATCTAGTCTGACCTCTGGCTCCAGCCGGCTCTGCTCATGACATGCCCACCATGTATACGTCCAGCCTGTCCTTGAACACCCGCACCGATGGGGCCTCAATGACCTCCCGTGGAAGCCCATTCCACACCCTCGGGGTCCTGACTGTCAGGAAGTGCTTCCTGGCATCCAAACTGAACCTGGGCTCCCTGAGCTTTGCTCCGTCGGAGCTCGTCCTGCCTTCCTTTGCAGGGGAGGACATGTCTCTGCCCACCTCTGTGTGACACCCCCTCACGTACCTGTGTGTCGCCAACGTGTCTCCCAGGGATGCAGCACAGAGGCCCCGATCCTCCGGCCTGCACGGCCAGTCTGGTCTCAAGCAGCCCGCAGAGCTCCTCCCCTCTTTTCTGAGCAGCCTCCCCTGGTTTCCTCCCTGCAGCGGCGGAAGTGGTGGCCACGCCATCTCCAGAGGTGCGGGAAGGCGCTCCGCTCCGCCTGTCCTGTGCGGTGAACAGCAGTGCTTCGGGCCCGGCCAACTACACGTGGTACAAGGACGGCCTCATCCTGCGCGAGGCCTCTGGGGAGTCCCTGGAGTTCCAGCGAGTGACGCGCGAGGATGCCGGGGTGTACCGCTGCCAGGTGGAGAAGCAGCGCATCCGCAAGGCCTCCCGCTCTCTCGCCGTGTCTGTGCTACGTAAGAGCCCTGCAGGGAGCTTCCCCACAAAACCGTGCTTTTCCCATGATTTTGTAGGCACGCACTTTACCTGCTTACTATATTTCGTGATGCCCAATGGCTGACTCTCCCTGGGGGGGCGAGGTCTGAAGAGCAAAATGGGGAACCATATTTAACGTGTGCTTGCTCGAACGAGATTGGGTGGAGCACGGACACCTGTGCAGGCGGCCGGCACAGGGCAAAATGCAGCTCCCACAGTAACCCGGAGCAAGTATCAGCCTCCATTCAGGACAGCCTTCTCCTACTGGCAGCCTCCAGGTGGGCTGGACTGCAACTCCCATCATCCCCAGCCAGCTTGGGCACCGGGGGTGATGGGTGTTGCAATCAGCATGCCTGGAGGGTGCCAGGCTGAGAAAAGCTGCTGCAGAATAGCCACCGCTCGCAGAGACTGTGGCTCCTGAGCAAAGGGAAGGGCTGCTGCAAACCCCCCCACACAGTGCCATGGGGTGCCCCAGACACGTGCCACGGGTCCAGCCCAGGAGCGCGGCAGACCGGGGCCCCTCGGCCGCGGCACCTGAGGGGGTGCCCACTTTGGGTGTTCACCTCTCCATCCCCAAAGCGGGCGTCCCTTGGTGATGCCAAGAGGGCCAAGCGACCGGAGGTGCCGCCTCTTCTCTTGGCCCCACTGCTGCCTCCTTGCCCTGCCCCCTTCCCTGGCATGCCAGGCCCCTGCTGGCGGCTGAAGCCCCTGAAACTGAGCCCCGAGGACAGCACTGGTGGGAACCCCCACGGGCCGGCCGTGCCCAGGGACAGAAGCGGCTGCTCCGTCTCCCTGCCGGCTGACCCACCCCCAGGCTGCTGCCCCGGCTGTGGAGCCCCTGGGCCCAGCAGCTGCCCAGAAAATGCTCCTGGTGATGAAGGGCACCGGGATCCAGAGGAAAGCACAGCCCAGTGTTGGGGGGGGGCTCTTTCCCACCCCCTTGGACAGCCATCTGAGTGGGATGCTGCAGACTGGCGGCCTGCAACAGCAGGGGTTGGACCCGAGGGCCTTCTCGGCCCCCTCCAACTCCACTGCCCGAGGATTCTCGATTCTGTGAAAAGAGCTTCCTGCTGACAGACTGACCCTCCCCTCTGCCCCCGGACCTTTTTTTTCCTGGCCTGGGGATGGTCGCCATTCAAGACAGGCTCTGCCAGCGAGGTCCGTTCCCTCCCCTTGGAGCAGGAGCAAAGAACCCCATGGCCACGGTGCCAGGCCAGCCCTCGGGGGTTCCTCCAGTGGCCCTGCTCCTCACCCTAACTCTAACCCACTCCCATGGTTTGCCTGTTTCCTAGTCTTGGTGTAGCTCCCCCCCCCCAAACCCAAAGGGGGCGACACCCCCCCCCCCCAAGTTCCCTGCATCTGGGCTGCTTTGGTCCTCAAAGGCCTTTTTGTCGACTCGGCTGCGATGCCCACCCTGAGCTGGGGAGGGGGGTGGCCTGCGCCAACAGGCGTTACCTGGGGAGAGGTTCGTGCACCCGCCTCCCTGAGCAGCACCAGCCTGGCCACCTCCGCCGGGCCCTCCCCGCCCCCCAGCCCCTGAATTTACCAGAGTTTCTTCGCCGTACGTGGAGCTGAACGTGCGCTTGGACGTGCGCAGATTGCATGTGTGTGCCAGGGAGCCGGGACCAGCGGCGGGTCCTTCTTGGGCGTGTTTCCCACGGGCAGCTCATGCCCGTCGCTGCACTGCGATTGCAGGGAGCCCCCCGAGCCGCTCTGGATCCCATTTCCACGCACATACGCTCCGAGGGGCGGTTGTGGGGTGCGCCTGTGCCGGCAGGATGCGTGCTGGAGCAACAGGGCCCGTGCCTGTGTTCTCTTCCAGACCCCCCCGGGACTCCCCGGGTGGCCGTTTTTGTGGAGACCGAGAGGGGGAGGGTGGCCGTTTTCCAGTGCTCCGTGGACAGCAACCCCCCAGCCAAACTGGCTCTGTACAAAGGAGGGAAGGTCATCGCCTCCAGCGGATCAGAACCCAACGCGGCCCCCCAGAGGGTCCGCGTCGGAGCGGCCCGCAATGACTTGCAGGTGGAACTGAGGGAACTTGTGCCGGAGGACGAAGGCAGCTACAACATCACGGCCACCAACGCGTATGGCTCCTCCTCCCGGCTGGTGTACTTCCACGTGCAAAGTGAGTGCGGGGGGAACGTGCCTGTGGGCGCTTGCGGGGCGAGGCGTGGGGGTTCTCTGTGTTCTCTTCCGATGGCGGTGCCAAAGCTCCCCAGGCAAGCCCCCTCGCTGCAGCCGCACGGACGAGCCACAGGTGCGGCAGCTGCACGGATCCGGAGCCGCACGCCGCCTGGCCAGGCTCCTCTCCCCGCGGAGCAGGGCCTTTGGGAAGCAGGTGGGTGCAAGTTGCCCCTTCCTTCCGGGCTCAGCCGCCCAAAGGCGTTCGCACTGTCAGAGTGAACGCCGCAGCGCTGCAGGGAGGTTCGTGGCTTGCCCCCAGCCCGCAGCGGATCGCACTGTCGCTCTGCGTGAACGGGAATGTCCCGGAGGCGGCAGGTGCTGCTGCGGCCCGCTCAGAAACAGGCCCCAGCGTCCCGGCAAGGCCAGGCTCCGCAGCGCCACTGCTTTGACGGAGATGTCCTGCCGCAGAAAGCCCAGTTTGGTGCACGCATCCACCTCTGCTGCTTGTGACACCTGGTTCGGGTTGCACAGCACTGACGTCGCTCGTGGGGTTGCTGCCTGCCCTGCGGATTCCTCTGCGTTCCTCGTCAGCCTGTTGGAGGAAAACTTGCTGGGCATTCTTCCCTTCCCCACAAAGCAAGTTGCTAGGTGTAAATACGCTCGAGGTGTGGAACATGTCGTCTTTGTGGTTATCTGTTGTTGTGGTGGTTGAGAAGAGGAAGCAGACACTTTGGGAAGCCCCTCCACAGTTTACCCAAGAGAGAATGAGTGGCTAATGGGAGAGGCTGTGATGCATTTAGACCCCCTTCCTCTGGCCACCTCCTGCCTAGAAATATAATGCCGGGTGGCAACAGGGTGTCAGTGTCAAAACAAAAGTTAGAAGCAGACAAAGGCACTGCTCAGAATGTGATGCAGCCCAGCAGAGAATGGGGCAGAGTTGCCCCGCGGCGCCTCGATAGTGGGATGCCACAGGCTCCCAGATCGGAAGCCAGCGACAGAGCTCGCTCCCCGCATGGGCCCAGGGGTCTGTGCCTGGATCCCCTTCCCCCCTGCAGTCAGCGTGGAAAGGGCCACGCTGGCCGCTTCTCTGAGGATGGAGAAGAAACCCCGGAGAAGGGGGCCGGGGGCAGGCTGGGCATAGGGGGCAGGCCGGCACTGCCGAGGTGAGAGACACCCTGATGCCGCCCCGGCCCCTTCCCTCGCCCCCGAGGGAAGCTGGAAATGGCCACGTGGCGGGACCTGCCATGCCTCCCGCCCCGTGCGGGGTGTCGTCATCCTCAGAACGTGGAGGGAGTCTCTCCTGGATCTCCTCCAAATAAATGGCTGCTCGGCCTCTGCCCGAAAGAAGCCCGAGAGAGATTCACGGCCGCTGCCCCATCTGTCAGGGTGGATCTGCTCGCTTTTAGGGGTGGGCCCAGCCCTCCGCAGCTGCGTGGACTGAGCCGGCCTGCTTCCGTTCCTCTTATTTTACAAGGCCCTCCCGGCACCTCTCAGCCGGCTGCCGTCATGTGTTCCGGCTCCCATTACCAAGGGGAGAAGTGGGGAAGGCGGCGCACTCGGCCGGCAGCTGTCACCCACCGGCTTAGCCAACCAGTGCTTTTTGGCTTCTGCAGAGTCAGCAGCCGCGTGTGCCACGAGCTCAAGCACCCCTGTGCAGCTTTGAGGACGAGGAAGTTGCTTTTGTAATGAAAATTGGAAGCTGAAATGCCCCGGGAGCAAATTCTTGCAGGAAGCACTGCGAGGGGAGCCATCTGAGCGGGATGGTGTAACTGGGTGTCCTGGGCTGAGCAGGCGGTTGGACCCCGTGGCCTTTTGGCCCCTTCCAACTCTGCTGCTCTGTGATTCTAGGTTCCTGCTGCTCTTTTGCATCTGCACAGCCCTACTTAAGATCATTCATCATTACCAGTTGCTAATCAACATCTTGTTTAACGACATTGTGTTGTTTCTGCTGCCCGCTGAAAGCACCTGCACTTCCAAAGCCTTCCTTGGTTGGCCAGCCACTGTTTTTATCGATACTCCATTGGTCCTTCATTCACTGCTCCAGAATCTATATCAATGTGGAGCAATATGGAAGTTTTGTGAATCCATAGGTGTTTTTAGCCGTCTGCAGCACAAGTCTTTTCTGACACATCTCCACCGAGGTCCTGCTTTTAAAACGCGAGCTGCGTTTGCGTCATGGCTTTGCTCTTCAGCTGCTCCTCTGCTCTCCCCCGGGCTCCAGCGGCCCGAGTCCAGGTCACGCCATCCCCAGAGCTGCTGGAAGGGGACTCAGCCAGCCTCGCTTGCAACATGAGGGCCCTCTCCCCCGAGGGCTCCGTCTTCTCCTGGTACAGGAACGGCAGGCGCCTCGCGGGGCACAACGCCAGCGTCCTCGCCTTCCCCAGCATCACCAGCGGGGACGCCGGATCCTACCACTGCCAGGCACGCTCTCTGGAGGAGGGAGGCGCCAGCATCTCCCTGCCGGTCAGCATCACGGTCTACTGTGAGTAGCGCTCCGGCACGTCCGCCATGTTGCCCTGTGGCCCTCGCTCCCCATCCCCACAAGGAAAGCTTCCGGGGCGCCCGTGGCCCAGGGCTGGGCTGGGCTCTCTTCTAACCAGAGGGCTCCATGGTGAAATTCGGAGAAATCCAAACTGGGCATCACCGGAGTCCAGTTCGCCCAGCATTTCCCAAATGCAGGGGATCTGTTGGCCTGGCGTCACTCGGGCGCTTCCTGCCCGTGCGCCTCACGCAGGCCGTTCTGGGGAACCCCGAGCACAGGAGGAAGCGGGGCGGCTGCAGGCACCTCTCTCTGCCCCCCACAGACCCGCCTCGGAAGCCGCAGGTGGCCGCCTTCCTGCAGACGCAGACTGGGCGGGTGGCCATCATCCAGTGCACGGTGGACAGCGAGCCCCCGGCCCAGCTCGCCATATCCCATGGCAAGGAGCTCCTGGCCTCCAGTGTCCGCGCCGGCCCCAGCCGTGCTGGCCAGGGGCGGGTGAGGGTCTCCGCCGCCGTCAACAGCTTGAAGGTGGAGCTGCGGGACGTGGTCATGCAGGACGAAGGCGACTACACGTGTTCTGCCGCCAACGCGTACGGCAACCAGAGTGCCAGCATGACGTTTACCGCAGGGAGTGAGTATGCGCGGGGGCCTCATGTTCCGCCACTTCTGGGCACGGAGGGAAAGGGGACTCGGGGAACTCTCACCAGAGCCGGTGCTGCAACGGCGAAGGCTCGTCTCCAGGCGACACCGGCAGATGTGTTGGACTACCAGTCCCAGCAGCCCCAGCAGCACGGCCAGCCATGAGGCTGATGGGACTCGTAGTCCTCCACATCGAGCGGGCGCCGAGTTGAAGGAAGTGGGTTTAGTCTTTGTAGCTTCCCCTGCCCTTTGGGGACCGACCCGCACATCGAAAAGCTCCCTGCCGAAGGAGCGACATTTCCGATTTTAAGGGCGGTGGCAGGATTCACGGCGAGTGGCACGGCCGGCAGAACGTGGTGCAGCCTGAGCACTTTCGTGGCCCCCGTCTCCCACCTTTTCAGCTGGTAAGGCCTGCAATATAGTCATCAGCGCGGTGGAAGCAGGGCAAAAGCAGCTGGGAATTTTATGGTGGGAGCCGGTGCAGCACCGGGGTTCGGGACATCCGGGTTCTGGACCTCACTCAGCCATAAATCTCCTTGGGCGAGCTTGGGCCAGTCACAGACTCTCAGCCTGGCCTGCCTTGCAGGGCTGTTGTGAGGATAAAATGGAGAGGAGGAGGTTGTGGAACCCCCTCCCTTGGGTTCTTCTCAAGAGGCAAAGAGCTGGCTATAAATGCAATGTAATAATAAGATATAAGACCCCAGCCAGGTTGGACCAGCAGGCCATCTGTCCCACCAGCCCATTTTTAAGGTGCCACAAGCGTCTTGCTTTTGCTGAGTTCTGGGATAAAAGGAGAGGGAGAAGAAATCTTTATCCACACCATGCATGACTGAAAAGACCTCTCATGGGACCATTTAAAGAACTGTCACCAGAGAGAAAGAAGTCAAGGAATCCCTTTAGGGTGCAACCCATGGGAATTTAGATGAGAGAACTGGCTCCCAGCGTGCCGCAGCCACAGACCCTTTTCCGTCTAAGCAGCTGCCCTTGTATGCTTGCCACAAATGTTTATTATTATTATTATTATTATTATTATTATTATTATTATTATTATAACATTTCTATGCCGCCCCTTGCCGAAGCCTCGGGGTGGCTTACAACACAATAAAATACATTGAAATACAATAGAACATAATAAATTACCACTAAATACAAAAATACAAAAAATACACTGAGATACAATAATATAAAATTAAAATTAACAGTATAAAATAAGTACATAAAGAATATAGGAGGAGAAAAGAGAAGGAAGAAGAAGTTGCCCTGGCCAGATCATATATTTTAACAATTAAAATGATGTTTAAATAAAAAGGTCTTTACCTGGCGCCGAAAAACCAGTAACGAAGGTGCCAGGCGGACCTCTTTGGGGAGTGAATTCCATAGGTTGGGCGCCACCGCAGAGAAAGCCCTCCTCCAAGTACTTACTCTCCTAATTTCTTTCATGGAGGGTTCCCGGAGAAGGGACTCTCTCGCATATCTCAAAGGGCGGTCGGGCATATACGGACGTAAGTGCTCGTTCAGGTAGCCAGGACCCAAGCCGTTTAGGGCTTTATAGGTCATCACCAACACCTTGAATTGGGCCCGGGCTTCAATGGGAAGCCAGTGAAGCTGATGGAGGACTGGAGTCATGTGAGTTTATGGTGCTCCCCCTGTGGGGAAATACAGGCACGATCCTATACAGGCATGTCACTGAAAAGCAGCTGTGCCTCCTCTGTTGCACATCTGCTTTCCAGCCTTTGGAAGCGCCTTCATTTCAAATGGCCCAACACATCTGGGGGGCTTCCGACTGGGGACGCCTGAGAGAAAGCCGAAGGAAGGCGTTCCTCAGAGCAGAATGTGCCCGAGGTGGGATTGGCACCCCAGGCCAAGCTCTCGTTTCCCCTCTTCTCCTGTTCCTCTTTCTTTGCTTCCTGTTGGTTTGTTGGGACGTGGCCTCGAGAGACCTTCCCAGTGGATCGTGCCCTTCAGCTTGGCCATGGAATGCGCTTCCCAGAGAGGTCCGCCAGGCGCCGTCGTTATTTGTTTTCCGGCGCCAGGCGAAGACCTTTTTATTCAAACGTTATTTTAATTGTTAATACTATTTATTCATTTTATTCTTTGGCCAGGGCAACTTAATTTATACTGTTAAATTATATTGTTTTATGTTATTTATTTATGATTGTGAGCCGCCCTGAGGCTTCAGTGAATGAGGCGGCATAGAAGTTCCCTAAATAAATAAATAATAGATAGATAGATAGATAGATAGATAGATAGATAAGTGGCGTACAGGACACAACCCGGACAAGTCCAGAAGAATGCAGCCTCTGTCTGTCTGCATTCCATGTGCGCTGACGCAGCGGCAAGAATCTGGATTTCTCCCGCAAACGTCCTGGAAGGGGACTTGGTGAACCTGACCTGCGTGGTGGACAGCGCTTCCGAGGACGAGAAGCGCTACACCTGGTACAAGAACGGCAGGTGGTACGCGGAAGGCTCGTCCAGGGTGCTGGCGCTGAGCCAGGCCACCGCGGCTGACACCGGCTCCTACTCCTGCACCGTGAAGACTCCGGACGCGGTGCGGAATTCTTCCGTGGGCACGCTCAGCGTCCTCTGTGAGTCCCGGCATGGCGGAATTTGGGCACGGCTGTTGCACACGCTCCAGCTCCTCAGCCGCACGATGTTTCGGTTTTACTTCCCTGGGGTGAGAGATGCCCCTGAGCCTCACGGCCCTTTCCTCCTCGCTGCATTATTTGCAAATCTGTGGACAAGGCTTCCGTGGAGCAGAACAGCTCGTCAACGGTGGGGGCGGGAGAGAATGAGCTCCTCGTTCCCCCAAGAGGGGCACTGGGACATGCGGGCTTCTCGTGGCCCCAAGCCGGCTGCCAGTGCGGGAATGGGGCAACCGGCAGCTGCAAATCGACGGGACCCCCCATGGGAGGCAACCCTGGGCAAACATAGCTTCTTCCACCCCGAGGGGGGGAGGCCGCCTGGAGGGTGAAGGGCCCCCAAGCTCATGATGCTGCCCACCCAACAGCTGACAACCGGTAACTCGGGCCCTGGGATCCAAGCGCCCCACAGCCAACACGGGGCCTTGAGTGGCAGTGGGGGGGGGGGGGGCGCCGGCAAGGCCAGGGCCCTGGCACATTTGCCAGAGGTAGAAAGTCTGTCAAGCCCGTGGGAGTGAGATCTGCAGGGGGGAAGAGCCACCGGGGGCAGGAAACATGAGGCATCCCACTGGGCACGGAATATGGGCAGCGACCCGGGAAAGGAGCGCATGGCTGGGAGAGGGCAGGTGCGCTGGAGCATTTCCCTTGTGTGCCACCCACCTTGTGAAGCGCACGCCCCTTCCCTAGAAACAGCCTGCTGGCAGCCGGCTCCCCCTGGGGAGATGCCCAGCTGGACGGCTGGCTGGGCCCAATCCTCCACCATGGTGCCTTGGGTGACGGATGTCCAGCAGACCCTCCCCTGGAAGGGGGGCATCTGCCTCTGGGGGGCTCTCGCTGGCACCGCGCTGCAATTCTCACTTCCCGGGGGCTTGAAACTGCCCCACCAGGCCGAGCAAGCAAGACCAAGCGGAGCCCGGGACGGGGGGCTGCTTTCTCATGCCAAGACCGGACAGCCGAGCGCTGCAGGGGAGCCCGCAAGGGAAGGCTGGAAAGCACGAAGTCTCTGTGCCGCTGCTTGGGCTGATTCCTCTCTGCCTTTTCCTCCCCTGGAAGATGCGCCCAGGAGAGTCCAGGTGAAGTCATTCCTGGAGACGCAGGGAGGGCGGCTGGCCAGCATCGTGTGCACCGTGGACAGCAACCCGCCGTCAGCCCTGCTGCTCCGCCGAGCCGGCCAGGTCCTCGCCGCCAGCGCCTTCCAGGCCGCCCGGGGGTCCGACCGAGGAGTGCGTGTGGCTTCCGCACCCAACTCCCTGAGACTCGAGATTCCGGACGCCGGCCGGGAGGACGAAGGCGCCTACGAGTGCCTGGCGAGCAACGCCGTGGGTGAGGCGACCGCCTCCTTGGACTTGCGCGTGGAGAGTGAGTATCCGTGCCCTCGCTGGGTTGCTCCGCACGTGGCGTGCCGGCCTGTGGGCTCCTCCGGCTGGAAATGAGGGCAGCTGCGGCCCAACAGCGCTGGAAGGGGCCCTGCAGAGAGGGCTGGTCCCCCGGTGCTCCAGGCAGGTTTCTGCCTCATTCACGTCTGACTGGAAAAGAACAGCTGGCCAGGCAAACCGTGTGCCATGAGAAGAAGGCATGTGCACCCTTCTCCAGCGGGGGGCCCCATCAGGGCCGCGGAGTCCAGACAGTGCCGTGTGGCATCAGACAAGAGGCACCCTCCTCCCACTGAGCCCAAGCGATCTTCCCCCGGGAGAGGGGCATTCTGGGAAAACATGGTGCTTCCCATTGCCCGCCCCGCCCCCATGGGCCTTGCTTGCCAACCGTAGGGAGCGCCTGGAGAAAGCTGGCGGGTCGGGGTCCCAAGCCTTTCTCCAGAGAGCCCACCTGCCCACGCGAGGGGGAGCGCAAAAGCCCCCCGGGCAGCAGCGGCCTCGCTCTTCCCCTTCCCCATGCCCAAAGACGGGTGACTCGGTGCGCTGCATGGACTGAGCTTCTCGGGAGCAGGTGGGCCTGTTTTGCGCCAGGTTCAGCCGGATCGGGGCTCTCCAGAGTTGCAGGCAGAGCCCCTCCCAGCCCGGATGCCCAGTGCCAGGGCCCGGAGACTGGCGCGCTGCAGTCCCAGTGGCACTGGGGGGTGTCCGCTGGAGGGGCCTGCCTCCCCATTGCATTTCAGCCCTCCTGCTCTTGTCCTGCTTGCAGCCACGAGGGTCGTGATCCGGCCGCAGCCAGAGGTGCGCGAGGGACGTCCTGCCTCGCTCACCTGCGAAGACACCAGCACCTCGGCGATTGCCAAGTACACTTGGTACAGGAACTCCCGGTGGCTGTCGGAGGGCTCGGCCAGCGCCCTTCTCTTCCAGGCCGTGGCTGCCAGCGACGGGGGCGTGTACTCCTGCCGAGCGCATCACACAGAGGGAAGCCGGGCCTCGCCGCCCGTCACGCTGCACGTGCTCTGTGAGTGCCTTCCGGCTGCAGGATCAGGCCCCTCTCTGGCCCAGGGCAGTGCGTGGCCCAGGCACAACTTCCCTGTTGCTGCAGGGCTGGACTTTGGGACCACGTCAAACCATGGGGGGCAGGCAGAATGGAGCCCCCGCAAGCCTCCACGCCGCCCTTCCCTTCCAGGGAGCGGCTTCCTGCTTCCGGCCCAGGTGCCTCCTGCCCACACACCTGGATTTCATTCCGTCCTGCTTCCACAGCAGCCATTTGGGCAGCAGGGCGGGGGCGGGGATGCAGCCCCTGGCGGTGGCTTCCGGGGGGATGCAGCCCGGCCTTGGGCCTTGGCTGCCCGGCTCACAGCGGGCCATTCGACCGGGGCCCCATCCGGGTGGGGCTGAGTGCGCTGTTTCGTGCCAGGCAGGCACCGGGCCGACGGCCCCTTGGCTGCACTGCCCTGGGTCTGCCTCCCTCAACCACTTCCGGGAAAAAATGCAAATTCTCCCTTTTAATGAGGATAATGTGAAGAATGGACTTCCCAGATACAGCTCGCCAACCCTGTATCATTTCAAAGGAGGAAGTGGAACTATTTCTTTACTGAAGATCTTGGAAACTACTTAAAAATAAGAAGCACATGCATATTTTTTAAAAGGATTAGGGATGGGGGCAAAACCTAGAACCTTCCCAGTGGCAAAGTGTTTGTGGTGTGCAGGGCAGTCCCCATGGAGGCAAGGCCGTGGGGGCAGCTGTATTTTGGACATGACTGCGTGCGACCTAAGAGGTGTGTCGTGAGGCCTGGAAGCATCCGCCCGCGCTGACGGAGCGGTTTGGGATTTGCGGTGGGCGGCCACCTCTGGCTCAGAGAGCGCTCCTCTCGGCTGACGCATGCTTGCCTCCCGTCTCCACACAGATGCCCCGAAGCAGCCCCTCCTGGCCTCCTTCCTGGAGACACGGTCCAGCAACCGGGCCGTCCTGCAGTGCACTGTCGAGAGCCACCCGCCGTCCGATTTAGCCCTGTTCCGAGGCTCGGTGCTGGTGGCTTCCAGCCGGGGCTCCGGGAACTGGCCTCCGCAGCGGCTCAGTATCCACGCGGCCCATAACTCCTTGAAAGTGGAGATCAAGGAGCTCGTCCTGGAGGATGAAGGGCAGTACCGCTGCCTGGCCAACAACACGTACGGGAACTCGGCTGCCTCCATGCGCTTCAGCGTAGAGGGTGAGCGATCCCACGTTCCCGCACAGGCGCATCGGAGGGGCGACATGCTCCGACAGCCTGCCCTCCAGACGGGTGGGGGTACGCCCCCAGCATCTCCCAGCCAGCCCAGCATGTCTGGAGGGCACCGAAATGGGAAAGGCCGGGAAGAACTTGGGCACGTGGGAGTCACACGGGAGGGCTCCGGGGAGGGTGGCGTGGGGGCCGTCCCAGCCCAGCCCAGCCCAGCCCAGCCCTGCGGGCATCTCACACCAGAGTGGGGTTGAAGGCCAGGCCAGGAGGCCGGCCGGCCAGACCGTTGGCCGCCGAGGGTTAAGCAAACCTCCCGCGTTTGCTGACTGAGGCTGCCTTGTGGTTTCCAGAATGAGCTGAATGCGGAACTTCTCCAGCCTGGCGCGGCCACAGCGCCGGCCCCCGCTGGAGACAGCTGCCCCTCTTGCCCGGCAGAGTCTCCTCTGGCCGGCAAGGCTCCGGGCCGCTGGGCAGCGCTGCCTCTGCTCCCCAGCCGTCGCAGCCGCGGGTGCCAGGACCCCATCGCAGCCCCTGCGTGCCGGCTGCGCCCCAGCCCTGCGCTCTGCCTGCTTTCGTTGGCTCGGGGCAGGCGGGTGCAATCAGACAGTGGGGAGGAAAGGCACTCTGCACACGCTTAGCAGCAGGCTTTTCCTTGCCACGGCTTCCTGTGCTGTCTTGGTGAACAATGTCCGACACGGGGCCCTGGTCGGTCCCGGCCGATCAGCCTCGGTCGCCGCCTTCCCGTTACGGTGAAAATGGCCCAGAAAGGAAGGCGGCTGGAGGCGGCCGCAGCCACCGTGCTCTGAATGGAGCCGAGCTTCAGCTGCTCCCCAGCCAACAATTCCCGAGACGTGAGCAGGACGCGCGGCCACGTCTCCCAGCCTGCCTCTGCCACGGGCAGTGTGTGTGGGAACCGGCCCTGCTGGCCACGGCGTGGACCACAGCAACGCCTGCAGGGAGGGGCCGGCGCGGGGAAGCCATCCACGTGGAATGCTACCACGGTCGCGCTTTGGGGGCCTGTCCCTTTTCTTTTCACCCCCCCCCCATGGAAGGAGGGACCCCACTGGGCTCCGCTGGAACTGCGCTCGGCCTTCCGGCTGTGCCTCAGCTCACAGGGTCCAGCTGCTGGGCCAAAAAGGAGGTCTCGGCAAACGGACCCCACCCGTGGCCACAGAGCGTTCATGTCGGCGATTCCCCTCCTGCTCTTCCCCACCTCAGGTGCGAGGGTCACCGTCGACCCCTCTCCAGACATCCAGGAGGGTGCCACGGCCAACCTGACCTGCGTGGTGGCCAGCCGGGGCGCACAGGAGATGAACTACACCTGGTACAAGAACAGCAGGTGGTTCCGGGAGAGCCCCGGCCGGTCGCTGGTGCTGGGCGGCGTGACCCGGGCCGACACGGGCACGTACCACTGCCGGGCAGCGGGCGGGACGAGGAGCGTGACATCCGCCTCAGCCAGCGTGAATGTGCTCTGTGAGTGCCAGTGGGGCTGGGGGGCTTCGCCAAGGGGCCGCTCCACTCCTGCAGGGCAGCTCAGCCCGAGGGGCAGCGGCCAGCTCTGGGGCAGCAGAAGCCCAGAGCCCTCCGGCCTCCGGCCCAGCCGCCCTTCCTTCCCCGGCTCCCTCGCCCACGCGTCTCACCCTGCTCTGCGTCTTCCGGCCCGGGCTCGTCCCACCGCCCACGCAAGGGAACGGAGCAGGAGGCCTTCCCCTTGGCTCCATGCGTCTGCGTAAGGCAGAGAAGCAGGACTGGCGGCCGGAATAGACCCCGGCCTTCCTGCTCCAAATTGTCCGTCTGCAAGAAACCGCATACATGGACCCCCCACCCCCCGGCAGGGCTTTGAGGGCCAAAATATGGCTCTGTGCAGCCATTCAGCTTTCCCTCCTCAGTGGACTTGCGTTTCCTCTGGTAAGAAAAAGACAGAAGCAGCAGTGGGAAAGCCCGGGAGCCGAAGCGCCGCCCTCTGCCACCCCGTGCAATTCCGTGAGCGAGCGAGCAGTGGCACAAGGGAAGCCTGTCCGAAAGCAAGGTTTTGGGGGCGGTGGGGGGGCCACCAGGGGGCTGCATCTCGGGCAGAAAACTGGCAAGAGGGGAAGGAATTTAAAAGAAATGAGGTGGGGGTGCTCCACCACAAACACACGCTTGCCTCATGCCCAGCCCCGTACTTTTTACCAGCAGTGTGACAGGCAGTATAAAGCAGTTTGCGAATTTAAAAAAAAGAATGCCCACTTCTTCTCTTTATGGCGCCATTTAGCTGGGCATTTTCTTAATGCCCAGAAGGGCTCTCCCGGCTGTGCATCTGCTCCCTCCGGCCGAGTGAGGGAAGAAACCTTGGCGTTTGATCTTCTTCGGAGAACGAGTTCAGAGTCCTCCTGGCTGCAGAGCAGAGCTGAGGTTCCCTGGGCAGCTTCTGCCAAAGGCCTGAAAGAGAGAGGAAGCCCAGATGGGGCTCCCAAGGCCGGGGGAGAAGAGGCTGCCCTGGGGCAGGGTCCGCATGCCCTTCTCCTGCTCCTGCAGTCCCCGAGCCCCGGCTGATCCGCCCCAGCTTGCCCGCCCTGCCCCGAGTGAGCTCTCGCCTTCTCTCCGTGCAGATGCCCCCCAGAGCCTCTGCATCAGCGCCTTCCTGGACAATGAGAAGGGAAAGGTGGGCATCATCTTCTGTGCAGTCGACAGCCATCCGCGCGCCACACTGACCTTGCACAAAGGAGGCCGGCTCGTGGCGGAAAGCAACAGCTCCCGCTCGGTGGCCGGCCAGCGCTTCATCCCGCTGCCCTCCTACAACAGCCTGAGGCTGGAGATCCGGGACCTCCAGGCGGAGGACTCGGGGCTGTACGTGTGCCGGGCTGCCAACCGGTTTGGCCACGCCGTCAGCACCATCGACTTCAGTGCAGGGAGTGAGTAGAGCCCACAGAGGGTCAAAAAGACGGGCTGCAGCCCTCGCCTGTTTGGGCAGGAAAAGGCCCCAGGCTCCCAGTTTTCCCAGTCAGCCTCACGGGCCCCTGTTGGCCAGTTTCCCTTCTGAGCTTGCCCGCAGGGGGTTTATTCCCAGTGTTTCCTTCCAAGGCCCTCACGGTGACCTTCGTGTCTCCCTCTGCAGCGCTTTCCAACCTCCGCTTGTTCAGAATCCTGGCTGGAGTGTTCGGGTTCCTAGTTTGCATAGCGGTCGTCTGCGGCTTGGCCTTCTGCATGGCAAGCTCCGGCACCCGGTAACCCCCCTGGCTTCTCAGCCGGCCGATCGGGGGCGTTGGCAGGCCTCTCCGACGGGAGCCCGGCTGGCTGGCCCACAGCGAGCACCGATGATGCCGATGCTTCTTGGCCCAAGCGCCTCGCCTCCGGCCTCGGGGCTCCCGACTGGAGCAACGGGCTGGGCAGGGTGGGAAGCGGGGGGGGCCAGGGTGGTCTTTGGTGCAATTCTGCCGCAGGGTTTCTTCTCACGCTCTCGCATTCAGCGTGGCAGAAAACGGACCATGCTTTCTAGCATCATCGCGCCCCGAGATACAATCTGACCAACTTCTCTGATGTTTTCCAGGATGAACAAAGCGTGGAAAAGGTGGAAGCAACTGAGGAGCAAGACGGTGGAATCTGTGGACCGTAAAGAAGACGCCCAGGTCTGGTGTCCTGCTGCGGCGAAATGCGTGTTGCAGCTGTGGCTTCCCTGGTGGGAACCATCCAGGCTGAGAGCAGCAGCTGGAATTCTTGATGGGAACGGGAGGCAGTCCAGGAGAGGCGGCTGTTCGTGGCGTGCAGCCTCAGCTCAGTTTTGCTCAGGGGATGCTTGGTCCACCCAACCCAGCCCGGGATTGCCTCGGACTGGCTCCCACTCCCCAAGCTTTCCAGCAGGGGTCTCTGGGAGCACTGGGGACGGATCCAGGCCTCCCACACGCAGAGCCAGCCTGGTCTGGAAGCTCCCCAGCGGTCTCCACTTGAGGCCGGGACTGGGCGTGCGCATGAGCGCTTCATCAGCAGGTGCTTCTGCCTCAGGTCTCCAAACTGCGGCAAAGAGGTGGCCCCCTGGTGCTTTGGCCTACAGTTCCCATAAGTCCCGGCCAGCGTAGCTTGTGAGCTAAAGTAACTGGAGGACCACAAGCTGCCCATTCCTGCTGAATTTGCCTCTCCTTCCCTGGCCTGATGCCTGGTGGGACATCGAAGGACAGCGACTGGGTTCAGGGGCTGAATACGGGTTTTACAGGGGTCATTGAGCTGTGGGTCGCTGTGTTGTCTGGACTCAGCTGCACTAACCAGCCATGAAGAGAACCCATGGCTTGTGGCCGGGTTGCGAGCTGTGGGCTGTTTGTGGGCGACAAACCATGGCTTGTTCACGTGGCTGGGTTCAGACAGCACGGCAACCAGCACTTCAGAAACAACCAACGGTTCAGTGCCTTCCCACACTCAGCCTGTACTCAGCCCTTGGCATGCTCCCCCTCCCCAGCAATGGGGACGCCCAGGCCTGGACTGCACCGGGAGAGCCCGTGAGGCAGGGGAGGAGGGGGAGGGTGCCACTGGAGCTGGGGGCCAGCCACCGTTGCGGCTCTTCCCCCAAGCCAGCCCCACTAGCTTGCCAGCAGCTGGGCGCTGGGACAACAATCCGGGCTTAGGGGAAGGGGGCGGGAGTCTGGCACAAAATGGGATTGCCCAGGGGCCAGATGTGCCCGGAGGCCGAAGGGCACCCCTTCCAGGATCAGCTGGGCTAGCCCAACCCAGCGGGCGTCCACGGTGAAGGGTCCTGAGGGCCTTTGATGCCGCCGTGTGCTTGGCCGAGTGCCTGCAGAGGCTGTGAGGAGCTCTGGCCGCGCAGGCCAGGAGGTTCCGGGTCCGGTTCCAGGTCTGCCACATCTGGAAGCTCAGCAGAAAGGAGACCTGGGAAAGAGCCCGCTCTGCTGGAGGAGGGGGAGCGGCTGCCGCGGCATAAGCCAGCCCTTTGTGGGACCAGGCCCAGCAGGGGGGCTACACGAGGGAGGCAAGCAGCCCCCTCCCTTCCCACAGGGATGGCTCTCCCCGGGGCAGGCCTCTCTCAGTTCTGGTAAGTCCAGAGCAGGGTTTCATGCAGAGCGGCAACAGCCACTCCCTCCCCTGCAGCACCGCCGCCCAGACGACCCGCTCCGGGGCAAGCCGATAACGCAAGGGAGCCGCACGTCCGGCTCCCACCCCCTCTGGCTCCCAAGGGTCTTCATTAGGCTGACGCGGGTTCTTGGTTCATGCGGACCTCAGCGCTGTACCCAGCCAGCTGAGCTGGATCAGCCTCGCTGCTTTTCCGAAGTTCTTGTGACAACCAGGTTGCTTGGATTTTCCCACAGCTGACGGAGCAAAGCTCAGAGACGCCCCCATCCGGACGTTTCTGCCTGTCCTACAGAAGGCTCCAGGGCAACACCGAAGCGCCCCGCAACTGTGCCCCCTCGGAACAGACCTCTGTAAGCACCCTGTGAAGGTGAGAAGACATCCGGAGGTGCGGAGCCAGCTGGGAGACCCGGGCAGTCCTGCAGGGCGAGGGGAAGACGGTCTGCTGGGGATCCTCACTCCTGACATGGCACTGATCCTGTCGCAGGGGACTTGTGTATTTCCCCTCCCACGTATCCCATTTTCTGCATGGCCTTGTCCACACACCCAAAGCTCAGACTCCAGCTAGGAGTCTGAAGGTTCTGATCTCACGATTTGCAGTGTGATAAAAGCAGATGAACACTCGGTCCTCCTCCCCACCCTCGGCGCGGTGCTGAGCGTGGACTTCCTTCATGGCACTTCCCGTCCCATGGGTACAGCGCTGCACACACGGGCCAGGAGAGTACAGACCGGCGGCCGGCCGGATCACCATCAGTCCGGTCCTGGGGAGCGAGACGGCGGCCCTGGTGACACGCCAACTCGCTGGAACGAATACCGTTGCTCCTCAGCCAACGTCGCAGGGGCCGTGCCCGCACCATGCTCCCCGAGAAGCATAGGAAGCGCCCTGCTGGATCAGGCCCAGGGTGACCCAGGTCCAGCTGCCTATGGGAACACACAAGCAGGAGAGGAGGGCAGCGACACCCTCCCACCCACGTTCCCCAGCGCCTGCTCTCTGCAGGCAGACTGTTCCTGCTTCCTCGAGCCACCGGGACCTGTGGCACGGATCACCTCTTCCTCCGTAAACTTGCCCATGGCCTTTTGAAGCCACCCGACTTGATCACCACATTTTGTGAAAGCAAATTCCACGGTTAACTGTGCAAAGCAGGACTGCGTTCTCTCCGAATCGGCTTCACCCAGGGCCTTTTCCTCTCTGACCTTTCTCCTCGCCATGCATTATTCTGCACAGCTCTCCCTCATTCACTCCCTTCCTAAGATAAAACAAACCTGGATTTGCCGTTTCTGGTGCTTTTTCCAGCTCCCGCGTTCGGGTGTGTGGCGGCAACCAGAAGCATCGGTGGAAGGGGAGCATGATAGCGGCAGAGAAAGGCCAGGCCTTCCCGGGCAGGGTGGGCATTCATTCCTTTGCCAGTTCGCGGGAAGAGGCTGAAATCACACGTGCAAAGGAATCACGTGGGACCGCTCCTACACTCCAGCTAGCGTTCCTCGCATTGCAAGACTCAGAAGTTACGACACGCACCTGAAAGGGGTTCGGAAACCCCCGCTGTGGTGGTCGGGCAGCCTCCTCTTGAAACCCGGTGTGGGCGACCCCTGGCGGCCAAAGGGCGCAGGCGCGAGCTGCAGCCCCGTGCGTCCCCTGGACCGGCCTCGGGGTGGGTGGGCGGGCGCGTGGGCGCAGACGGAGCGGGCCCCCCGTTGAGGCCGGCCAGCTGGAGCCTTGTCCCGGCAGCCCAGCGCCTGGCTCCGGAGGAGAGGGCAGCTCCCTGCACGGTGCCCTCCGCGGCCACGACTTAGCTCTGCCCGGGAAGCCTGGCAGACGGAAGCGGCCTCACGGGTGCCCTGGGTGCGGCCGGGCGGAGGGGCGTCCTGCGCCTGGAATGTGTTCTGATTTTGCAGCACTGATGTGCATCTGCTCCCAGATCACTGCAGCTCCCCTCCGCATGGCCCCGGAAGTTCAAGCTGGGGTGCTGGCCCCTCTCCTGGGGGTGACCTTAGTTCCTAGGCACTGCTGATGCTCCCATATAATGAGGCCAGGATATCTGCCTCTCCCCTACTTCCCACTGTGATCCTGAAGGTCTCCCCAGAATGCTTCCTTAATCATGCCAGCACCAGCTGCACACCCAGGTCTCAGCGACTGGGTGAGAATTTATTTTGGGATTCGTGAGGAACATCCACATCGTCTTGCAGTGTGACGTGTGGTGCCCAAGACACGCCACTTGAAAAGCCTGAGGAGCACATGCTACCGTTTCCCCTCTGTGTTTGAGATTCAGACCCTGCGCACTTCAGAAGGACCCCGTATGACGATGCACATGCAGAAAATGCTGCTTTGGGCAGACCGGTGGACTGTGCTCTTGGTAGGAAGCAAGCCCCGTGTCTTTAACTGTGCCCAGTGTGCTTCAGGAAGCAAGCCAAGAAACAGTTGACGAGCAGTCCCTCTGTCCTGGGGCGGGGGGGACTCTTTCCCATCACACATGTGGCCCCCGATAATTGACAGAAATGCTGGGCTGGGGCAGTTGTATTTCCCCTCGGCGGCCCACCCATCTCCACTGCGTTGCTTGCACTCTGCCGGAGGCAGGGAAAGGGGGCGGGGTGGGTGCAGGTTCCCTGGGGGCACAGCGACTGCATACCTTCCTTTTCCAGTGCCTCTCAGTTTGTAAGGTCACAGGCATGGAGGTCTCCAGCTGAAAACTGGAGGACTAGCAGAGAAGGCAGCTATTCCATAGAGTTATAGAGCAGAAGAGCTGGAAGGGGCCAGAGGGCAACCTGGAATCTGCCCAAAGATGCGTAGTGTTGTGGGGTGGCCTCTCCAGCAGTGCCCAGAACCCTGGATGTTGCCACTGATCCTGGGGGAGCTGGATTTGCTTTCCAAGTTTATTGCTTGCTGCGTATGTATCAGTGGCACACCTGTGGGGTCTTGCCCCAAAGAGGAGGGTGCACAGGCAACATGCAAAATCAAAGAGCTGGTCTCCTCACAGCTCATCAGCCCCTCTGGATGCATCCAGTCCCCTTCCTCCCTTCACCCTGGAGCAAAAGTTGTGAAGGAAGCATTTGGGGGATGGAGGAGAGCGCAACCTCACTGATTTCTGACGCGCTTTGCTTGGTGCCCTGGAACGCTGGGCCAAAGGAGAGCACTGCGCTTGTCGCCCTGTTTCCTAGCAGGAGAAATCGCCCTCAACGATTCACATTGGAGACGCTGAGCATTTTGCAGGAGGGGCTGAGCTCTGGCATCATGTGGCCCTTTTTCTGTGCATGACCCACGAGGCGTCCAGGGCGCGCTGCGGAGAAGGCGGGGAGAGGCCCTTTGGCTCAGTGGGGGGCCAGGCAGCAGTCGGGCCCCAGGGAGCCGCTGCAAGCACACGCATGCGACGTGGAAGGGCAAACTGAAGCTGGGCACGGGGCTCTGGGTGCTCCCCAGGAGCCGGTGTGAGACTAAGAGCCGCGTGTAGGTGGCAGCATTGGAGCGAAGATGCAGACAGGAAGCCGCCCGCTGTTGGCGCGTCCTGCTTATTCGCTTACGTGTTTGTGGTATTTCTGTACCGCTCCATCCCAAACAGGTCCTGAAGTGGTGAACAGCGTGTGGTTAGCACAAACCTTTCTTTCTTTGTGTCAGAAGCACCACAGTTAAAATAAGGCATATTAGAAAACACGTTGTCTTAGAAGTAGTATAAAACAAGGAATTTAAAACATAAAATATAAAATCAAAACGTACCAGTTAGACGGCTCAAGCCCAGAAGCTGGCAACTTTAATTGCATTCTGTTGAGCTGCCATAAGATACCAAGTGCACACCGATCAGAGCGCAAGGGGCAGGAATGCATGTGCGTTGTTCTCTGTATATCACCACAACCCGTTGGTTCAGGGCACCTCTGGATCTTGCTATACCTGTACGCAGACTATTCGGCGATTTCCAGTGGTTAAAACAAATTAAATTGAAAGAGTGCATTAAAAACAACATAATATCAAGGCCGTGCCTTGCCAAGCAGGACAGGGCTTCCTGGAGTAGGACTGTCTTTAGCAGGTGCCCAGATGGGCACAGTCCTTGTGCTTGCCTGACCTCCTGTGGCAGGGGATTCTGCAGCAATGGGGCCGTCACACGGCAGGACCTGCTCCTGGTGGAGGCCAGTCAGGCAGTGGCCTGTGTGGAGCCCCCAGGAGAACGTTCTCCAATAACCTCTGGCTAGACAGAGTGGGGGGGGGGGATCTCTGTCAGGCATGTGGGTCCCAAGTTGTTAAGAGCTTGGCATGCTACAACCAACATCTTAACTCTGACCCGGTAAATCGTCAGCCTGAATTGGCAGCTCCGGTCGCTCCTTCAGCAAGAGAGCGGCACACCGAAGAGAGGGGCAGCTCCCCCAGGGGTCAAACTGCTGCCGTCTGCACGCACTCCAGGCTCTGAAGCGTTCCCAGCCTGTTGCAGTGTATTTACCTGCGATAAACCAGTTGAGGTCACTGGGTCACTATGGCCAAGCTGCCCTTGTCTAGGAGAGGCCGCAGCTGGCTAACCAGACGGGGTGGCCAAAGGCCCTGCGACGGATCTGCCCACACTGCGGACCCCCTCTTTCAGCCCCGTCCAGGACAGGCGATGCAGCCGTCCCACGCGAGCCGGAACCGTTCCCTTGCAGGACTTCTGCCTCACCACAGTCCGGCTTCGTCTCTTGGCCCTCATCCAGCCCACCCCTGAGACCAGAAGCTGATCCAGGACTCCCTGGCAGCTGCGTGAGCCTTTCCTGCTTCAGCTGTCCCAGGCGGACAGAGGGGAGTCCCAGAATCGTAGCATCATAGAGCTGGAGGGGGCCAGGGGGCCACCAGGCCCAGCACAAGTTCCCAGGCGGCACAGCTGGGTCCAGCCAGCCCCTCCCAGCTCACCCCACCGTGTGGGCTCCCCGTGGCCCGAGCTCCCCTTGAGCTGCAGGGCAGGGGGCTCAGTGGATGAACCACTGCAGAATGAGAGCCGCAGGAAGGGGCTCCAGGGGAAGAGCGAGCGCAGCAGCCCACCCAGCGCCCGTGCTCCTCCCCCAGCACCACCGGAAGGATGGCGCCACTTCCAGCAGCCCTGCAGCAAACCCTTCCGTGCACTCCAGAACACGCCACACTCCCCAGCTTATTCACGGCGCGACACGACACACACCCAAAGCACATGCCCACCAGTCACCCACAGGCACCACATTTCGCCAAGCGGAAATGCCACGGTGAGGATGCCTCGCCTGCCAACGCCCAGGCAGCCCCACGGCCGTGCCGGCTCTCCCCCAGAGTGTCCCCGGCACTTCCCCCCACAGCTCTCCCCCCTGGGGGCCCTGCTGCTGCTCCTGCCCGTCGCAGGCTCCCACCCTGCATGGAGGTGGCGGTGCTCAGCACGGGCCTCTCGGCCGGCCTCCCCCCTGGGCAGCGGCCCCTCAGCCCACGGACCGCCTCTCGCCACCGCATGAGCCAAGCTCACGGCCACGCGGCACAAGTCTTCAAGAAAATGCCCCCCCCCCCCCGACAGAGCACGCCCCGAATGTCCCCCACTCGGGAACACTCCTGCTGGGCGGGCCACCACCCTGCAGCGGGCCTGCTGGCGCGTCCCGGGGCCGCCCCTTGCCACACGGGCCGACCCACTGCGCCTTAGTGGCGAGGAGGGAGTGCTGCGGGGCTGCAGCTGGCCGAAGGAAGCGGCAGGCAGCCCTTCCCTGAGACGCACACCTCGCCTCGGGGTGCTGGGCACACGGTCACCCAGGTCCTTGCGCTGGGCTGCCGGCCCTGCAACCCCGGCTGCGGGAAGGCACGCCAGCCATGCTGGCTCCCGTCCCAGCCCGGGGGCATCCACAGCCTCCCTTCCTGCCCAGTTCGAGAGCCACGGCTGTGGGATGCCCCCAACCCCTTTTCTGCAGCTGTTGCACTCACATCCTGCCAAGCATCCCGGGACCCCTCGGGGTTCACGCGCAGGTATCCAAGCTCCTCCAAAAGACGGTTTTAAAACCGCCTGCAGGCTGCTCTGCCCAGACGCAGGCAGGGCTGCACTGTCAGCCCAGGCAGGGAGGGATCGTGGGCTGAAGGCTGCTCCGCCGGAACTCCTGGCCAGCTGTTGGCCCTCCTCAGGAAGGCCCTTGTCAGGTGTGCACAGCGAGGCAAAGGGCCCGTTGCAGGGCTGAGCTTGGGACGTGCCGGATGATGGGATCTGAGCAGCTCTAATGCCCGGCAGGCCTGCCTGTCCCTGGGCCAGCTCCTCACGCGAAGAACTTGCCAGGAGCCGCGAGCCCCGGCATGCGCGGCCGGGGCCAGGGGCCTCTGGCAGCCTT